AGGGAGCTCGGTGAGAGCCCGGTGAAATTTAACTCCGAAGTTAAAATTTCACCGAGCTACCACCGATGCGGTTTTAAGCAACAAACGCCACGGATGTCCGGCCGGTGTCCAGCCGGTGTTCGGCCGAGTTCGGTGAAAATTGCATCGCTGGATCATCGTAACCTCATCGGCCGTGCTATGTGACTAGGCTATTAAGATATAATATCAGTCATAGAATTTCTCATCAAAATGGCTCTAGCTTGACAAAGGCGCACGTAGGTTATCGCAAACAATTTCAAACAATTCTAACTTGAATTATGAATATTTTCTGATCATGAACATGGGTGTATCTTTTAGATCCATTCATTATCTTCAAGAAAAGTATATATAATGATAATTTAGTTAATCAGACCTAAGTGATATGGGGTCAACATGTTTGAAAAAGTGTGTTGATGGGTCAATTGCTAGTTAAATATCTCCGAGTTTGTTTGACTTTATTATTACTGTATACAATTTTCTTTGAGATAATGAATTGATCTAAAAGATAAACTTGTCTTCATTGTCAGAAAATAGTCATAATCCAAGATAACCTTTTGAATTGTTTGCGATAACCTACATGCTCCTTTGTTTTTATACTAATTATGTATTGTGTCATCAAAATGAACATAAAGTTAATATCCTATAATAATTAAGAATTGGTTTTACATTCTTATCGACTTATGATCATAGCATAATATTAAAGTGTGATAAGAACCAAATATATCAATGAAATAAACCTATTGTATAAAAAAAAACCAAAAAAAAAACCAAATAACCAAAACGAGCAATTCAAAACCGAACCATACCAAAGATTTCTAAACCATCTGACCCCTAACTGACACCGTCTGTCTTTAAGCAATTCAAAATCTGTGAACTCCACAGCTTTGATTGCACAATCTGATTATGATTTCTAATACATCAAGATCATTTCTTATTGATCCTTTGCATCATTCCCACTGTATATAAAATTAAACAAAAGTTCACATTTCAAGAATGCACAATATAAGCCGCACTTGATCGTCTTGATAATTTATGACATCATTGCATCGATTAGTAAGATTACCTTTCTCAGTAATATACATTCTTTATAGATTATAAGTACCTATTACAATGAATCTTCAATTAAGATATGTTTACTTCTTACAAATGAATGACTGTCATATTGATTGAACTCTGTATCCACAACAGAAGGAAAATCACACCCAAAATACTAGGGGCCATTATAGGACAATAACATACCACACAAACAGATAATACCAAAGGATGATGGGATTGGGCTACCTCAACTTTAGGATGCTTGAATGTCATGTTCATATTAGTGCAGCCTATTTACGAATATTATCTATTTTGGGATGTTCTTTTTAAGATACAATCAATAATTGTACAAGTAAATTCAATTATTTTGTATATTGTTTATAAAAATAGATTATAAAACTTGAATATAAAATAAAAATATTGAAACCATTTGTCAAAAGAGCTCTGTCCTATCTCAAAATGATTAATATTTCACTGAATAATTTCTTTTTTATTTCAATTCATGATGATAAAAAGTTTCAAAATTATCTGACTTGTAATACAATTATTTTTTTTAGATATTTCACCATTTGTAACTAAGTTAATAAGCGAAGTTAATAGGCTCCTAGCAATGTGTAACTGTGGATCTATGATAATAATTTAAAATGAAAAAAATAGCTCCTCTAAAAATTAGCTAAATATTTATGATATACATGTAAATTCAAAAGCAAGTTTATCTCGACATCAAATTGCCAATAGTAAAATATTACACATAAAGTGTAAACTGAAACCATCGTTAAATTGAGGAAGCAAGAATGCATAGTTTAGATCATAATCATTTAGATATTAAAACGTTAAAAATCTTTTTCTTACCTAAGAATAAAAATGTTACATTCATGAAAAGTAACCAGATAATATGTCCCATACAGCCTTCCATCTTGCTGAAAGTTAAAACCACAGTCCTTTTTACTGGCTGTTTACTTTACCATTCTCCATTCACACATCCTTGCTCAACTACTGTATCTTCTCTATCTGTAGGCATCATATTGATGTGTTTTAAAATCCTTGAGCATGTGACTGTAACTGATTAGCGTGTATTAAGTATTGAGTTGGAACGACTGGCTTTTGTTACTCTGTGACGTGTTTTGTATTGACTATTTGCTGCAGCTTTACTTACGGAGATTATCTCAAATATCTGGTTATCACTAGTTTAATTAAATGTTATGACAACGGAGAACTTGATTTTCATGCCACCTTTTAGCTGATAGGGAACTGGATACAGAGTATTGTCTTACTTTAGTTATTGTTAATCGGTTTACCTATTCATAATCTGAAGAATAGACTAGACTATTACAAATAGATCTCATATCTCTGTTTTATCACAAATGGATTTCTAACTGCTTGGTTCTATGTTTGTATCTTTTATTCCCGATCAAGTAGGATTTCATTGTAGTTGATTCAGTTAAATTAAGCAGTGGGACTTTTGGATTATACAAAACGATGGAATTTTTTGGAATATACCAAATTTTGCATTATCAATTTCAAAAGACTAAAAGAAGTTGAATCTCAATACTGTTTTTTATCCAAGTCATAAAATGAACATGCATCAGTTTCCTATTTCAAATTATGTTCAATGTAACATTTCATTAAAACTTTAAAACTGATCATTTATGCACTCATGCATTGATAATGTGGGTCTGTTGGGCACATGGAATCGAATTTACCTGATGGGACAAAGATTATTATATTTTGCATTATATTTCTTAAGTTTATGGTCTTCATATATGATATTGCTCATATATATTTTGGAAAGATTTAGGTAGGACTTGGTGCAAGCATCAGAAATATAGTGTGAGCATTGTAAAATGACACCTGGGATTAAGTCACTAGAATTTATTGAATTTATTTATTGGGTGCAGAAAATGAAAAAAAGGCCAATTATTCAAAAAAAAAAAATTAGGATGAAGTTTAGTTAAGCCAATAATAACAGCTAGATCATCCCCTTCATAGTGCTTTGCGACTTCAGCTTTAGACTCCAAATCATTTTCTTACTAAATACCTCCTATGTTTCCAAGATATAAACAGTTTTCCCATAGTTTAATGCTTTCACAATTTATTCACTAGATAAAATAAATAATATGGTCCAGTCGATAAGAATAATTTCTATGTAATTGTAATTCATATGTTCGTATAAAGTCTAATGCAACTCTTGTATTTAACTCTTCAAATTCAATAAATTATGTTACACCTAGCTATAATACAGTTTGTAAATTACTTAGTTACAAAAATATGAATAAATGAATACTATCTGTCAGTATGGCATTTATACATGAGACAGAGACAATTTCCATGAACCGTGTACTGTATTAAACAGTACAGTACAATACACTACAGTACAGCCATCGTGAGATATCACAGCCTTCTCTCAGTGTCCTTCTAGCATTCTTGTGCATAGCAGAGATGGTCTGAGTATCAGTATGCAGTACAGCAGTGTATCATACAGATTATGTAATGTATTGAAAATACGGTACAGTAAAGTCAAACAGTTCAGTACAATACAATAGTTCCAGTACAATGTAGTGCAGTATACAACAGTATAGTGCCATATAGTACAGTGCACTACACTACACTACAAGATTATGCAAGTACAGGATGATGAAAGGTAGAATCAAACTTATTCAGGGAAGTACATTAACATTTACATGTTGATTTTACAACTTTTAATTAATCCATGGATATCAATTTCATTTAAACAAACCTGTCTTAAATACATTTTGTAATCAGAAATCGTAAATTATATCATATATAGGGTTTGGTAAATTATTGCTTCATGTCAGATCCTACCTTTATCTACCCTGGGGCAAATATATAGTTTTGACACTGAGATAAGATTTCTAGGACTCCAAAAGTAGCTGCCATGAGCTTTCATGGGAGTGTGAATATGAACTACATGTTTTCAGAAATATTCTTGCTTAAAAATATCCACAGTTATGTATAGCTGCAACAAAAAGAATCCAAAATGTTAAGGCCATAGGCACTGAAGTCATTTTATCCAAAGTTTCTGGATGGAAAAAGTCATACGTTACTGTCTTATAGATAAAATGAAAATTTTTGAATACATTTTTATTGTTGCTACTATACATAACTACTGGAATTCTGATTGGATTTGAGTGATCTTTTCTGATTGGGTAAAGCTCGATCAAAGGAGGATCTCTTATTCTATTTAGAAGCAAAACCATCTATTGAAAATGTCACCTTTATCAGCAAATATTATTTTATGCATTTATGTAGTACAGTTGGAGTGCTAATTAGAATCTTTGTCAATATCACATAGTTGTAATAATCACCCGAAGAGAAAATACCCATGAGTTACTGTAAAAGTAATTGATTTATTATGTAATATGAACTTTTCATAACAGCGAAGCCTTATATACAAATAAAAAATAAATGGAACAGAATTCTAAAATGACAAGAATTTTATTTCATTTACTGAAAATTTTATCATTTACTTATACAGTAATACAACCCAAAGCCAATTAAAAACACAATATTAAGAAATGGATACATTCAATATATTCAATAATTTTTCATTTTACAACCTCGTTGTTGCATTACATTATAATGTGAACATTGCACATAACTTAATGAGTAAAATTCCTCCATCTTTCTAAAATGTTATATCACCAAAATATTCATTAAATAGAATGCTTAAATGAAATGTAAAATGAAATGAAAATGCTAATTGATAATGACATCTGATTTTGATATAATATTGACTTCAAAGATGATTGATGTGTTTGTGTTTGATGATCTGGTGTATACCTTAGTTATTTTCAATATTTTGATGATTTCACATTGTAAACTTCATTACTTTCTATATTTTGATGATTTCACATTTTAAACGTAATTATTTCCATACTTTGATGATATAACATTGTAAAGAACCTTTACATCTAACATACTCCATAAAAAAAATGTTTCTCAATATATTTACCGAGAATTCTCAAAAATAGGTGGACGTGAACAAAACCTAATTCAAATCAAATTCTTGAACACCTTTATATTCAGTACAACACTTATACTGATGTAGAAATACCCAATACGCGTAGAGAATTGTACTTTACTCAAGGTAAAATACAGCACCCTAAATAAGTATGGAAACGCAGTAACACTGAACAAAAGCTATACCAATGTCAACATAGAGTCACTGAAGATGGTCTCAACTTAAAGTAGTCCATTCAAAATTATCATTCTGCATTTCGCAATGTTAAAGATCATCCTCTTTAAGATGTTACACGATAGGCAGGCCATGTTCATGTGTGTCGGTCCATTAAAATATTCCACGATGTCAAACTGAAATAATCTATTTCTCCTTCTTCTCGTCTTTTTTGTCCTCTGGTTTCGCAGGATTATCTTCATAACTGGAACATTGAAAATATTTTTCATTTTTTAGATATTGTAATAATAATGACAAATGAGTCATTTTATCTGGAGGATATAAACTGTATTGCATGTAAAAGCATGTTGCCACATTAAAAATGCATGATTCAGTGAACCCTACAGTTAAGCGGGTCTGACTCTAAATTGATTATCAAGCACACATCCTGTAATTCAATGTCCTATAAAGCAACTACACCAAATTGTTGCCTCTGGTGAATTGTACTAGCTTGGTAAAATCCTTCTGTTGATTGATTTAGACATTTGAACATATGAAAAGGAATATGTGTTGTTGGCCTCATTACGTGATTTTCTCACCTGAACATTGGCTTCAGTTCACCTTTGATGAGAGCTACTAAGAGAGGGACTCCTATACAGGCAGGCACCAAGTACAATAGAGCTGGCTGCAACAACAAGAACAACAACATTACAATTTAAACAATCTATGTTGATATACTGGTCGTATGCAATGAATATATTATTACTGACCCAAGTCTATAAGGGTGTGCTTTATTTAACAACACATAATTGAAGAGATACTATACTACTCTGAGCGCAGAGGTTATTAAAAATTAAGGCAATTTTACAGTTCATCAACTCCATCCACACTACATGTCAATGAACCTTCCAAGTTGAACACTTTCATTGTGGTCCAAGTGGAGTTTCACATTTTTGCCTCACCTGTGCATGTTTGAAGATGTGCATTACTGACTCTAATATGAGTAAGAATAATATTGACTCATGAAGACATACACATGCATATTTGAAAATATACATTTTGCCTCACCTGTGCTTTACTAACTCTAATATGATTAAGAATAATATTGGCTCATGAAAATATACATTTTTGCCTCACCTGTGCATGTTTGAAGACGTGCATTACAAGGATTGTGCCTAGAAGACCAGCAATATAAGCAGCAAAACTAGCGTAGAAATATGTCTTACTATTCTTGTTTAAACTGAAAAATAAAACAAACAATATTGAAATGTGGGGGTCAGTTAAAATAGCTTCATTTAATTTTAGGAATCGTTTTATTAATCTGGGGGTCATTAACATCCCAATTATTAGAAATTCACTAAAAATAGTTTTCAAATAAAGCGTTGTAACCGTGGATATAATGATGTCATAATGAGAGAACAATGGAATAGGAATTCTCAACTATATGAAGTTTCTGTTCATAACCTGAATGTCATTTTATTTTAGGTTTTCTAATTTCTAAATTGAATAAAATGACAAAATCAATAATTGTTATTCAAATAAGTCAAAGGAAAAGTTTTTATTTTCAACTCACCTCATATCAAACCTAAGAAGGAGGGCTATAAAGATGCCTGGAATTACAATGTCCCCAAGGCCAAGCATGGCAAAGTTATTGGCGGCTAAACCATTCTCTAGTAGATCTTGAGGGAATACCACTACAACACAAGAAAAAAAAGTCAAAATTACAAACTACAAATGAAATAGATGCCACTGTGCTGATATTATCAACATTAAGTCACAGTTCAAATTAATAATGGTGCTAAGATATTCAGCTTTGTAATTAAAAATAGAAAAAGCTTGAAAAATTCTCAGATCAGAGGAATTTAGCCTAATTCTAATCAGACGTTATTCCTGAAGGTTTTACTCACATTTTATTGGAGCTTCAAACGATTTAGCTACTGTCACCATGACATTAGTACCAAACACCTAAACATAACAAAACAGAGAATAATTACAAGGGAGTTTACACCAAAGGCTCAATCGATAAGCAGGGTCTGATTTCTAAACACAATAATGAGCGTTTTTAAAAATGTGTTTTTTACAAATAGACTGTCTCATAAGTGGGACCACTAGTACAAGACATTCACACTTAATACTACAAATTAAAGTGGGTCTTACAGGCTACAATCATTAACTGATTACGCATTAACTGGATATTCAAGCATGGGTTGTGGGGCATCATAAATCAGGTTTAAACTTACCCAGAATATATCATAAAAGAAGAGCCCTCCTAGAAGAATGCAACCTGTGCTGACTGTGTTAAGCTGGAGAAGTTCTACTCCATTTACAGCAAATGCCAAGCCAAACAGGTTATTGGCAATCCAGTGCTGAAACATAAAACACATACATTTTCAATTTGATGAAACATTCTCATGTTTTTTTGTGTCTTAATTTTGAAATCAAAGGCAATAAATATTTATCTGAGTATTGTATTTTGCGAAAAGCAGTATGAGTAATTTGGCTTTTAAACTCTCGCATAAAGGAAGGCATAGCAAGGACATAAGTGTACACTTTAAAATGAATCAATAATTTAGATCATTTGAGATGGTAGGGCTTCATGTCCGTAATTGGTTACAATCATTAATTTTCCTTTTTTAAACTTTTTTTTTGGTATGGCCCCCTTTGGCAATTGTGCTCACATATTCATTTCATATTATAAGAATAAAATGCAATTTGGACTTACCTTCTTCAATATATACCAGACACCTACTCCAGTACAGAGTACCAATGCTACAAGATCTCTTCTATCAAACTCATAATTTATCAGATCTGAAATAACAATCATAATATTTAGGCGATTTATTCTACACATATTACAGCATATTATCATCACCAGCTCTATCTGTATACTGTGAATAACCATTTAACTAATTGATAAAAATAATCTAAACTGAAACTATATAGTTCTTCATAGTTTTAAATGCTATCTGTTATATTTAGATTGTTCTACCTTCTTTCTTTTCTGTTTTCTTTCCATCTTTCTCCTCTGTCTTTGTTTCTTGGAAGAGGAGTTGATACTGACAGTTGGGGAATGATGCTGGGATAAGCTTGTTGACCAGGGGACTGTAACAAGAACGAGAACAAATAGAAGAATAGATTTTTCATGTGATTTTATTGCCTCTTTTTCAAGAATTGAAGACAATCTCCCTCTCCTTGTATTCTCACTGTACATTTGAAACAAGGCATTAGCACGCAAAATGTCACCACCTGCCATTTGTTAGAGATGATTAATGCCAAAGACCAATCACCGAACACCAAATTGTTTTGAACATATAGATTGCTTACATTTATTATCACATTTTGGCTAAATGTAGACTGAATCATTTCTCAATGTTAAAACCCCAGTCTTCTAGGGGAACCTTTGAGTCACAGCTTGACTATTCATTTTTGCTATACCAATTAAATTATTAACTACATGTACATGTGATTGATTATTAGGTTCTAATATGAATGACACAAATCAGCTACTTACCTAGTGATATGAGCTAATGCAAGTATACCCAGGAAGAAGAAATAGGATGACAGCAACATGTTGATGTATTCTTTGGAAAATACCTGAAAATCACAATACATAATGCTATTTTAAAAAACAGAAATTTAGTCAGCCACAGGGTTTAATGATTCGCATCATGATTTGAAATACGATTGTAAATTCAACTTTTATTAAACAAAACAGAACAGGTACTGGTTCATTATTAATGTATGGAAGCAATCTCTGGGTACATATTAGTTGTCTTTAGGCAAATTCAAAAAGATCACTTTTCTTGAATGTTTCACCCATTGGGTGTATTTATTTAGAAGCACCCTTCATAGTCATACTTGAAAATAACATCCAAAGGAAACTCTGGTATACTATCATAAAATAATTCAAATAAATAAAAGTAATTACAATGACCAGTTCTTGAAACATTTCAATCAAGTGGAAGATAAATATTGTTTTACAGACAGGACAAGCCTCAACATTTTTCTCTAATTCTTACTGATTATGTTTTGGAACATACATGTACATGTATTTAGCTTTTTATGGTTTTCTTAACCTACCTGGAAGAACAAGTAGAGTCCGAACAGGGTACAGCTAGCAATGATGGGGAACATAGCTGCATCTTTATGGGACATTGTCTCTGCTACTTCTCCATTTTCCTGGAATAACAAGACTATCAATCAGCCAAACTGCATCATAATTCACAATTCAAAATCACAAATCTCATAAATTGGGGAATGGTAATGTGGATGAATGTCTTGAAACCTCATTTAGCATGGAGAGAAGTTGGCGTGGGAGTATAATGCAACAATTAATATTTGAATTTCTAATTGCGACTTTGGGGAAGATATTATTCCCTTGAATTTCACACAATATATTTCTAACTGTATAAGGCTTGTTTTGATGCAGTTCAAGCCCCAATTGTATTTGGTATCTTGAAGAACAAGAACATTTTCATTTCTGACAATTCTGCTGATAATCCCACTGATGGAAAATTCAACTACATAAATGGAATCCTAGAATATTCAGAAATTGTGGTAGATATTTAAGTGTGACATGCCAAGTCATCGGAAGAAATGAACAAAGGGGAATGGGATGATTTCTGTAAGAAAATTTAACAAATCTCGGAGATTTTCTTTTAGGAGAAAGACTATGTTGGAAATGCTTAATGAATAGGTGCACGACACGATACAATACAGTATGTGGGCTTCTAGGATTTTTTTGGACCAATAGACTTCTAAGATAAAAGATATATTAATAAAAAAGGCAATTTTCAGTTTTTTGAAATTTCGCGGCTATTAATCTGCACATATTTGTCATAAAGGATCACTCTTTCGACTCTGATATCAGCCATGGTTGTTCCTTCACCCAATGATTTTGGCTTCTTATAAAGCCCTTTCGTTAGAATGTTCATTTTAATACAGTAATAACGATCTCTCTTCTAATTTCCCTTTTTCAAAACTCAAAATGTCATGTTTTTACCTAGCTATTATCGCCCAGCACTGGACAAAAATATTGTCAAAATTGAAATCCCCAGGAATTTCCTTGAGATTTCACGACTAACAAATTTCGTGAATTCAAACTGGAGGAATTTCGCGGCTAATATATTTCGTGAATTCTCCAAAACTCTAGCAGAAATCGCCGCATCCCCCACTCTGTTCATTTCTTCCCATCACTGGGCATGTGTAAGATCCGTGGATTATTCGCCATGTTGTAATCATACTCACGCAGTACTAACTCACCGGGGCGTATCGAAACCAAAACGCCCCGCAAAACTGTTAATTTGAATTTCAAACCTACTCTTTCTTTGGAAAATCAATGATTGTGAGTCTCACAGTACACCGTTTTTCTTCAAACTTGTTCTATTAAAACCTTCACAGAAATACCTTTCACTCGAGACATTGCTTTTGTGTACAGAGTCACTCGTTTTAGCGTTGTTTTGGTCCCCAGATGTGAGAAGATGCAAATCTTCAGAGATTTCAACCAAAAGCCTCAATATATCACCAGTTCTTTTATTATTCTCCCCTATATTTTGCACAAGGACTCCCATTACAACCCTCCATCTCTGCATCAACATATTTATTACATTAAACGCACCAATTTCCAAAAGTCCTACGCATCTGTTCGAAACTGATCAAAACGCACAGTACTCTCCCAAAACGCCCCGTCGGATCTATACAACTTATCTAGATACACGTTTATAGTCATAGACTCTGCGGGGCATTTTGGAAGACAACGGGGGGTTTTGGTCAATTTCGAACAGTTGCGTAGGACTTTTCAAAATTGCTGCGTTTCATGTAATAAATATGTTGATGCATCGATGGAGGGTTGTTAATATGGGGGAGAGTGATAGAAGAACTGACGAGATATCAAGGATTGTGGTTGAAATCTCTCGAGAATTTGCAACTTCTCACATCTGGGGACCAAAATGCCGCTAAAACGAGGGACTTTGTGTACAAAGGCAATGTCTTGACTGAAAGGTATTTCTGTGAAGGTTTTAATGGAACAAGTTTGAAAAAAACGGTGTAGTGTGAGACTCACAATCATTGATTGATTGACAGGGTAGATTTGAACAAATTAACGGTTTTGCGGGGCGTTTTGGTTTCGATACGCCCCGGTGAGTTAGTACCGCGTGAGTATGATTACAACATGGCGGTTAATCCACGGATCTTACACATGCCCAGTGATAGGAAGAAATGAACAGAGTGGTGGGATACGGCGATTTCTGCTAGAGTTTTGGAAAATTCACGAAATATATTAGCCGAGAAATTCCTCGCCCCAGTGAGTTAGTACCGCGTGATACTGGCAAATGATTGGGACTTTCTCAGGACAATAGTCCTAGCACATAAACCCAAGTAACAGCTGTTTATCATTCTCAATTCGAGTTGGGGTGACATCACTCTTGTGAATCCAGCAACTCACTATCAAAGAGATAGGCATAAGTCATTCTATCAATCTATTTCAGGTCATAAATGTTTGAATGAATTCAACACAACATTCATACCAGTTGTAGAGTATATTCAATGATACACTAAATATTTTGTCACCATATGTTCCAAATAAATCAACCGGAAGTTCATACCTTTTGCTCCTTGTGATACTTTACAGATCGGAATGCGCCGATAAATATGGGTACTAAGGCCATTATGACCAGACTGCCGTACGCCACAGCCATTCCCTCGGGTGTGGATGGTATCTTCGCAGTGGCATTCTTCTCACTTTCGTTCAAACTAGCGTTTATTTCGGCAAGAGTTTCATTCACCACGTCAGCCATATTTGCAGATGTGTTCTTTAAATAGTCTCGAAACAAAATGATATCATTAAATGATATTAGAAATATCATGAAATGTGACAAATATAGACAATATCTATATCTATTATTGTTATTAGAGATAATTTGGATATACGATTAGTTCTTTGAAAAGAGGAATAGATAATAGTTTGATTAACTGTTTGTATAGTAAAAAGCGCCATCTTTAAAATGTAAACATGAAGGTTGAATTGGGGACCAAAATTTGTGCTAACTCTTTCATATGTTTTCTAGCAATAGAGACAATATTTGTACTCGTGAGTAAAACTGTAAATGCACAAGATATCAGGGATCAAGTTGACCAAAAACCAGTGAAATATTTTGCAGATTTACAAAGAAATATCTACAGTAGTTGGAGCAGTAGAAAATTACAAAATGTTAATTTTGACACTCCTTTTCTGTCAAGAGGGTCACATTATTCCAAGCAGATGAGACAAAATATCTTGCAGAGATATAAAGATTTCTACATATCACCGACCTCAGGAAATATAAATAATGATAATTTAAAATCAACATTCCTTGATAGCATATCAAAAGCTCAGAATAATGCTAATATAAAAGCTCAAAAGGTAAGTATTTCGTACTACCCCCTTAAATGTGGGGTTGATTTTTCAAATCACCCCCACAACTATAGTACTTGTGTATTGAAATCTTGTAGTTTAAAAGTGTAGTTAGTATTTGACAAAAAGCTGAATTTTGTCTTAATAACCTCCAATCGAGCTTATTTTCAACTACAAGATTTCAATACACAAGTAGTTGTGGGGGTGATTTGAAAGATCAATCCCACATTTGTGGGGGTAGTATTTCGATGCATGGGTTCATGCTCGATGCTCATCCACAATGCTCCCATATGAAGAAAGGGTAGAATGCAGAGTTATATAAAGTGCAAGAATATCTTCACAAAAATTCCTCAAAAAACATTTCTAAATATGAAACCTCTAATGAGTAATGACCTCATTTGGACATAACTGAGAGGATAAAGCAATTATCATAGTTAACCTCATAATTACCTCTTGTGAATTTCTAGTATACCCCCGCCGTAAACTCCTTTCGTTTCATGGAAAATTTAAACCATCTGTTATATGAATACTATATAGAAGCCATGATAAACCAGGATTAATTTCTAAGCTGATAGTGACATCTTCAATATCTTTTGATATTGTGATATTGCTTGGATTGAACATGTACTAGATATAGTATATTGACTGACTGTAAATTGCAATATAGCCTAACAGCATCCTGCCATCTGTATAGAAGCTATGATTAAAATATATTTTAAACATAGACTAATGACCCCTGGGCCCATCCATCGAGGAGCTGGAGTGTACCGAGCCAGATACTTGACTCAAAAGAGAGTGTGCTAAATTCAATGCCCAGCATTTGAACCCAGGATCTTCCACTCTTGAACCAGATGCTCTACTCCTGAGCTGAAGGGTAGAAATTCAATGTCCAGCATTGGATTGAACCCAGGATCTTCTGCTCTCGAATCAGATGGTCTACTCCTGAGCAGAAGGGATGCCACTACAGCTGAGACTGTAGTAGCGACTTGCTATCAAAGGTCATTACAATAGTATTTCTTTTTTTCTTTTCTTCCAGCGACATAACAAATTAATAGAAAATGTACCATCCAAAGTCAGTGTCACAAAAAGACTTTTGTCTGCAGTTAAAGATGGGAGTCTGCCATATAAAGGTTTGTTTTACAGTTAACAATAATACAAAACTGGATATTCTGAAATACATGTATGGCCAATTATTTACGTTTTATTACTCCATTAGTCGAAATTTCGTATTTGAAAATGCCCCAAAAGACTTTAAACACAATCTAATTTTCAAATTTACCACTCACTTGCTCACAAAATACCCACGCTACACCATTGAAAGATGAAGAGTTTATGTAATCAGAGGTTGATTTGGAATAATTGTCATTCTAAATTATATTTCAATTTTGCCTTGAGTAAAAAAAGTAATTGTGTTGCTGAAAAATAGAACATTAATTAGTATAGTGATAGATGTACATGTAGATGCAGTATATCCAGTACAATTGCTGTCCTTCTTTGCTGTTTGAGCTCTGTGAAACAATCTCCACCCAACCCTCGGCCCCAACCCAACATATATGTACTTTGCCCATGCACTCACTTGATATATGTTAGCAAACTATTTCTAGAGAGGGCCCCCATAGCTAAAGACTGTGTGGCTCAAATTGGCCATGGGAAGTTTAAGGAGCTGAAGAACCACCTGTATGATGGAAGTATTATAGAAATAGGCACTGGTCACACAGCTTATCAGGCTGCTGTTGCATTGGAGAATACTACAATTATATTAGTCAACATGCCAGGTATGTACAGTGAATTGTATCATGTTTATCCCCTTTAATTGAGCAATACCCTTCACTTGCATATTTATCCTATATCTTTATGGTCAGTGCATCTGTATGTAAGAATGGCTGACATTTTTGCTATATACTTTGTTTGTAAATATGCCAGCCATGGCTGTTCGATGGGATTTGCTGCGCTATGGCGTTGCTGTTGTCTAGTTATCCTATATTTTTTATGGCCAGTGCATCTTTATGTATTGTATCTATATCCAGGTTGAGCAGTTTTTCCAAATTGTGAGTTAAAGATGTATTTAATCTAATGAAACCAGAGACGGTTTAGTAAATACATATATACACAAATGTGATTTTCTTGCTTGAAAGTTCATTGTAAATTGTAGCATTGTTGCTATCTTGATCTTGATATTTCATGTAAGAAGCACATAATGGCAAAAAGCAGTAGTTTAAATTCACTATGAATGTAGCAGTAATGTGTGACTTAACTTTCACTGTTTCAGATTCAGAGATAAATGATTGTTTTGAAGCTAAGGCAGTAGTGAATCTTCACACAGGGATGCTTACGTTAGAACAGCTTGTCTTGGCTGCAGAGTCACTTTATAATGACTATCAGGTAACACAAAGTCACTTTATAATGACTATCAGGTAACGCAAAGTCAACTATCAGGTAACACAAAGTCACTTTATAATGACTATCAAGTAACGCAAAGTCACTTTATAATGGAGAGGTTAAGCTACCGTATAAAATCCAAAACGCAACTTAAACGTATCAATCGGCCCTATACAAATACATGTAGAGTTCACACATAAATAGCCGTTCAGCTCTAGTGTTTGTTTAGACTACACCATAGCTTGTAATGATTACATAGTATCCCATTGATGAAGTTCAATAGCTGGTTTTCTAATACATATTTTAAACGAGCTCGTTTCGTAAGATTATTGGAGTTAAATCATGCGTAACATACATCATCTTCTTCAGAAAGAATTATACTTTGCATCGAAATCAAAATTCCAAGGATAGTATTCAACAGACATGAGTATAATGATTCCCGTTGATAGCAACGTGAAAATTTAAAATCTCCCGTTCTAAACACGCAACTTTGAAGTTGAACGGGTATCTGAAGTAGACTAAAGCGATACAATCCTATATTGATTCAATGTACTTTGCGTTTACGTATACGTTTTGAAAAACCGTATTTGCTTAACCTCTCCAATGACTATCAGGTAACGCAAAGTCGACTATCAGGTAACACAAAGTCACTTTATAATGACTATCAGGTAACACAGAGTCACTTTATAATGACCATCAGGTAACACAAAGTCACTTTATAATGACTATCAAGTAACACAAAGTCACTTTATAATGACCATCAGGTAACACAAAGTCACTTTATAATGACTATCAAGTAACACAAAGTCCCTTTAATGAAACGCCTAATCCTAGCATAGTGTTTTTCTGTTTAAATTCATCATTCATCTCTCTAGCATTGTATTGTTATCTCCCCATTTGAATAATTTTCAAGAAATTCTTGCGTGACCCATCTTTTTAGAATTTATGGATGTTTTTCATTTTAGACTAGAGATATATGTACTGTACATGGAAAGAGAATTAAAAATGAGAGGATTTGTTTTTATTTATAAGTACTTTACAGGTACTATTTGGAACAATGTTTATCAGTAACCTAGAGCAGATGGTTGGAGATTTACTGCCACATGAGCTAGAGGAACTCCTTGGTAGACTGGTGTCACTCTCCATGCAGACTTACATATTGAATATCAATGAAGAAACAATTTCTAATAAAAAGGTGGGATATAATTTGATATATGCAGGGGTGATTCCTAGGTTATACAAAGTGTCCTTTTACAAATTCTTGTCCACATAAAATAAAGAAAAGTTGCAAGAGGTTGATGGAAATTCAGTTCCTGTAAGAAAATAAGAAAACTTCATGCATGCTTTCAGAAACAATTTTTCACAGAATCGTGGGATAGCCTTGCAGACTTATCGCACAAGGTGTGTACTGTAGCAGGCCTGAAGTGCGGAGTCAAGAGGATTGTTGCAGGTCCTCCGTACTGGAACAATCCAGAAATGATTATGCAGATAGAGGTCATTAGGGGTATAAGGGTACTTCCAGAGGCTGTGTGTTTTGCCTTGGTAGAGAGAGAACAGGTTTGTTTTCTCATAAATTTCATGCATGAAGAACAGATTTGGCGATTTGACTATAAAAGTTTGGATTATCACTACTAATTGTAAGAAAAGCAATGATAGCGATGCAATATTCATGTCTATAAAATTGGAATTTTAGTGTAGACCTACTTATTGATGGCAATTGAATTCTGTTTTCTAGGAGTGTTATTTGAAATTCAGCAATGCTACAGACAATGTTACAATTCAATTCCAAGACAATCTGCGATTTTTGTCACCTGTTAATTTGGAGACAGTTACCATATCAACACTGTTACAGTTAGGTGAGTGGAGACAGTTACCATATCAACACTGTTACAGTTAGGTGAGTGGAGACAGTTACCATATCAACACTGTTACAGTTAGGTGAGTGGAGACAGTTACCATATCAACACTGTTACAGTTAGGTGAGTGGAGACAGTTACCATATCAACACTGTTACAGTTAGGTGAGTGGAGACAGTTACCATATCAACACTGTTACAGTTAGGTGAGTGGAGACAGTTAACATATCAACACTGTTACAGTTAGGTGAGTGGAGACAGTTACCATATCAACACTGTTACAGTTAGGTGAGTGGAGACAGTTACCATATCAACACTGTTACAGTTAGTTGAGTGGAGACAGTTACCATATCAACACTGTTACAGTTAGGTGAGTGGAGACAGTTACCATATCAACACTGTTACAGTTAGGTGAGTGGATCAACCAAGGGCGTTACAATACCCGGGAATTTATCGGTTCGTGCAGTACTTGTTTGTGATAGCGCTCTCTGCATGTCACTGTGCTTAATAGCCTACAGTAATATGGGGTAGGATATCGGGAATTCGGTGCAGTTTCTATCCATCGATTACGCTATGAATTGAAGCAAGTATGACCACTTTATCCACTTAACCAGTTTGATAATTGATTAAATCTTTAAACAAAACCGATAAACATGTTATACACTTCCTATCTCCTTAGAAATTAGCATGTATTTACGGATTGTGTTTTGAAACGAAGTTCGACCCAGACCACTAGGGAATTCCTTATGCTAATTAGTATGACGTCATATTTTCCTGGGGAATCCTAGATTTCAAAGCCTCAGTCTATTATTGTATCAAATGTAAAGGTTGTTTTGCAGACAGAAAATTGACAGATTAGCTTTCACCTTTGATGTTTAAATAATTTATATTTCTACCGGACTTCTTGCTGAATATCATATAATGTTATAACTTGCCTGATTGATCATTCTGAAATTTTGATTGTGATTCCCCCCATGATACTTACTTTACCCCCGAACTTTACCCTTTTGCTGGTTCGTAAGTGAGGTATGCCCGGAGGTATGTTACATGTAGGTTGAGGCCCGGGGGTTGGGGGTTCGTGCCGCCACAGTCATAGATCAGTCTTACTTCAAATGTCTAATCCAATCTTGACCCCCAGAGGTGCCTGGTGGGACAGTTATTTTCTTCCAAGCCCCTGGAAATTCCAGTAATTGGCTCTGAGAGACTCGAGTAAGTGGGAAGTAGAAACGGGGCCAGGGGATTGGTGGCCCTACCACCCCCACCAATTCACAAGCATACACATAAGAGACAAACACACCCAGGCTCCAGGCCGTGGATGGAAATATAAAACTATTTAGGGCACAAAATGTTATTTAATAGACCGATGTGTAGTGTATCCGCCATGTATTGAAGATAAAACAATCTGCATAATTGTTACTTCTATCAATACATGGATTGTGCAATGGAAAAGTAATGGCACAATCAAAAATGTGCATATCAATCGTGAATATCTCTCGGTTCAAAGCTTATTTCCAATAGAATGGTGTCAAAATATGTGTCTGAGTAACAGTTATACATTATAAGATCGCAAACTCTTACCAATTATCAGCCGAATGGCTCATTTTCAACGAAATGTCCTTAAGTTGACAGCCCTGGGTTGTGCCTGAGACCAAAACTATTTCAAATAGCCCTTCCCTAAATAATATTGGATAATCACATTTATGCGTGCATGCGCAGCTGTCCACTGAACAAAACGCCACTTCCTGCTGAAATCACCGGGTATTGATTTTTCCCTTGGATCAACTGAGATCCTGAGTCAGTTACCATATCAACTAAATGCTCTTTCAGTGAAATTACATACCGGGTATGTCATGTGAGTCACTTACCAAACAATGCTCCTTCAGCCAAGTAAGTAGACCATAACATGTATATAGTCAGTTGCAATAACAATGGTCCTTCAGTCAAGTGAATATAAAATTTTGAGTCAGCTTCCATATCAATACTCCAAGAATCAGTTACTATAGCAATGCTCATTTAGCTAATAAAATATACCAGATCATGAATCAGTTACCATAGCAATGCTCCTTTAGTCAAATAAGTAGACTAGATCATATATTAGTCAGGAACTAGAGAAATGCTTTTTCAATGAAGTACATGTAAGTATGTCATATGATGAGTCAGTTACCATTGCTTAGCAAAGCTTCTTCAATGAAGTACATGTAAGTATGTCATGTCATGAGTCAGTTACCATTGCTTAGCAAAGCTTCCTTAATGAAGTACAAGTAAGTATGTCATGTCACGAGTCAGTTACCATTGCTTAGCAAAGCTTCTTCAATGAAGTGCAAGTAAGTATGTCATGTCATGAGTCAGTTACCATTGCTTAAAAAAGCTTCTTCAATGAAATACAAGTAAGTATGTCATGTCATGAGTCAGTTACCATTGCTTAACAAAGCTTCTTCAATGAAGTACATGTAAGTATGTCATGTTATGAGTCAGTTACCATTGCCTAGCAAAGTTTCTTCAATGAAGTACATGTAAGTATGTCATGTCATGAGTCAGTTACCATTGCTTAGCAAAGCTTCTTCAATGAAGTACATGTAAGTATGTCATGTCATGAGTCAGTTACTGTGTACGAACGGACTGGACCTACTAAGAACCGTTTGGGATCTATTTACAAACTTCATCGAACGTACTCGAACGGGTAGGTCCTCTAGAACTGAGACAATGCTCAAAATGTTCTCGTGGTCGTCACGCTCTACAATTAGAACGAGTGACAACGTACTAAATACGAGCTGGACGTACTACGAACGGAACCGTCGTACTTCAATCCTACTAGGGACGTTTTAACAACGAGTTGAGCTGTCTGAGGACGTGTTGAGAACGAGGTAGAACTAATTGCAAACGGGTTTAAACTGATTAAGAACGTATTTAACACTGCTTATGAACGAGTTAGCAAAAATATAGCTATCATACCAAAAAGTTGCCACTGCGTTCTTCAAAACTGGTTTTAAACTGTGTGCGAACAGAAAGAATGTAGCTGCAACTTTCTAAGGTCTATTTACGAACTTTATGAACGTTCTCAGACGGGAATGTGATTTTAGAGTTTTGAATCGATTCCAAATACGATGGCGACCATACCGTTCTGTAATCAGGTCATGTTGACCTTCTAGACCAAGGGACGCATTCTACGACGTTGCACACCGACGTGGTGCGACCTGAACGAACTGCGAACGAGATGGACGTTTTGAAGACTGTTTAAGAACGAAGAAGCTAATTATTTCAGACATATTTCCCGACCACAGCCAGATTGAGCCCGTTTTACGACGTTTTCGTAGGACTGGCAAGAACGGGTAAGAACTAGTTTGGTGTGATAGGGGGGTTAGCAAAGCTTCTTCAATGAAGTACATGTAAGTATGTCATGTCATGAGTCAGTTACCATTGCTTAGCAAAGTTTCTTCAATGAAGTACATGTAAGTATGTCATGTCATGAGTCAGTTACCATTGCTTAGCAAAGTTTCTTCAATGAAGTACATGTAAGTATGTCATGTCATGAGTCAGTTACCATTGCTTAGCAAAGCTTCTTCAATGAAGTACATGTAAGTATGTCATGTCATGAGTCAGTTACCATTGCTTAGAAAAGCTTCTTCAATCAACTAAGTACATGTAGATTAAATATTTGTTTCAATGAAGAATGAAGAAGTGAAGGAAAACATTCTCAACATTTCTTTTGAAACAATAATACATCATATCTATCAATATCATATTAAACGCCATGTTTGTAAAATTAAGAGATGTTTGTCCATTTTAGATGATATTGTTCATATCATTATTCTAATTTAACTTGAAAATATATTTGATTGTAATTCTAATGTTTTCAGGGCCATCTATTTCAACAAAAGAAAAGCTGTTCATGGAGCTGCTAAATCTCCCAGTCACCACCCCACATATAAGCAGTAGGAACATACACGTGCTTGGTAAACGGGTCTTCCACTGGCACCCTAAGGTATCATCTAGAGATATATACAATGTACATTGTACTTGAGAATGCTGAAGAGTTAGTTTTATTAACACACATGCTATAGATAAATTCAGTTTATTATGCCATATATTATTCAAAACTGGTTCTCCATTCTCAACTCTTCGATAGAATACAACCACCATGTTTATGTTAATTTCAAAACCTGTTTCCCAAACATAAATCACTCACAACTCATTCATTCGATACCACTGTGTATCATCATTTCAATAGAACAGAAATACTCAATTATACAGCCCTGTAACACACTATAGACTACCTGTTCCTTATATGATATCAAAATTATGTGAAGTACCTATATTAGATAATTTTCATATTTATTCGTTACACTCAATTGTTAGAAAATAACATTGGTATTGATGTAATTACAGGGCATAAATAGGATGACAATGTTGCTTATTTTTCTATTTCTATTTGTATACAAACATTGCTGCCTGCTAAGTATGCATCATGAATCTAACCAATATGACCTATTTTCCTTTGTTTACCAAAATGGGTCCGGGTATACACTATTTGAAAGGTATATTGCCATTGCTATTGACTATATGTATTTTTTTTTTTTTTTTTTAAGAAATATTTATTGCTTCATAAAAATATCATAATATAAATCCCTTCAGTCAAAAAAAAGAAGTATTTTATTGAAACAGTTCTATTGAAACAGGAGCGTTGTGCTCCAGGTATTTATTCATCTATGATAATTGTATAATGGTACATACACTCACAAAAATATTGTGTACTTCATTTACCTTGGCTTCTGTAACAATTGTTACACTTTACACATGCAAATTATTTCATTTGATCCAGAATGGCTACATCACAAAGGATGTCACGGGAGAAGCAACTTGGGTCCGCACTAAAGTTAACTCTCTCCTTGAAACAGGCCTTGCATATGATCACCTTCCTAAGTATGAACCAGAGGACGACAAACCAAAGGTATGTTATACAAATATATTATTCCTTCTTAGGCTTATAGCCATCAAATTTCTCAAAAATGTGAATTTGTATGTTTTTCTTATGAAAACTATGAAAATGAAGCCTTACAATAATATGTTTCCCTTGAACTCAATTTTGCCCCATTGATTCAACTCTGGCCATGCCCTCATATTTGGTTTCAAGAATTGTCGGGAGAAACCAAGTGGGCCAAAAATGTAGGTCACCGAGACATTAAGTTTTAAAATGGGTTTTCTCAACTAGGAAGGAGGGACAAAAGTAGGAGTTATTTCTGTTTTTGCTGCAACTTGTTTTCAGATGAATTTTTGTCCCAATTTTGAGTTAATGAGATTGGTTTCAAAGAGGAAATCAAATTGTTTCAAGAATTCATGAATTTTTTTTCAAAATTTTATCCATATTTGCAACCTAATTTGGGATTTGAAATTACCAAACCTTTCCAAAAATGTCAGAAATGTACAGGTCCAATGTATTACTAAGGACCTAAAAAAATTGAAAGGGTAAGGTTTGATGCTGACTCACAGGAAGATAATATTATACACACCGGCAACCAACATGAGAAAATATTGCTTATACATGTAATTAGTACAGAATGTATTTTATTTCAACTGTAGATTCATGTACATGATAGATTCAGTTTCTGTTGCCATTCTGTGCTCTGAGTCTCTGGAGATCAAACACATGCAGCTGAAGAGATGCATTCCTCATCTTCTATGTACACCATTTTACCATCAGCTGTCACAAAGTTATAGTCAGAACATACTCCATTGCCAATGGGTTCTGGGTTTGTACACACTTTTACCCGAGACTTGATCCCCTTTCCGCAAGTTGCTGAACATGGGGAATACCCACTGAATTCTCCCCAGCCCCCAGGAGTGGAAATTTCATTGTTGATCCAATCTATATAGTTAGCTACCTTGGTATATACCCCAGATTGTTCCCCACATGAAAAGGAAGGTCCCCAGCTTACTATACCATGCTGATACCATTTGTCTGTTACACGACACATTAAGGGTCCCCCAGAATCACCAAAACATGAATCAAATCTTATGGGCCCATGGGTCTTATTTGGGTTTTTAGCAGAAGCACAGAACATATTGTCTGTCACTTTTTCTCTATCAGATACTGAGTTTAGAGTACAATTTCTTTGAAGATTGATTTCTACATTCCTTAAAATATCTGAGTACTGAAAAAGATTTGATGCATCGTGAACGCCCCATCCAACAACTTTACACAGACCTTTCCGTAATTTCTTCACGGTTTGTGCATCAAAGCTAGCAGTTTGAGGAAGATTAATTGGTTGCGTGTATTCATTAAACTGAAGTGGTGAATCAAGGGTAACTATAGCAATATCATTATTCAATGAGTCAAAATCCTTATTAACAGACACATTTTTAATTTTTCTTATTTGTTCATAAGGTTCCTCTTTTGGTATATCATGTTTGCCAGTTTTGACTGTGATTAACCTTTTAAAGGAAGATAGTGGCATTTGCAAATCAGTGAAACAATGTGCTGCTGTTAATATATGGCTTGGACTAAGAACCGTGCCGGCACAATGAAGATTTCCCTTATTATCCAAAAATATAGCCATCCATCGATAATTGAATGGTGGAGTCACCTCATTTCCACCTAGAATGATTTGAGCTTTTTCAGTTCTAGCAACCCCTGGTTGTGGACATTGGGCAGGGGACTCAGGAGGACAGTTATCAATGTTCAGTTCAGTATTGCGTTGTAATTGCAAGTCATTTTTGGGATTTGTACATTTTCTTATCTGGATCTTGCTACCGCATGTTTTGACACCAAAAGATGTGGGGCATGGAGAAGATTTAGAAAATTCGCCTACAATGAAAAAGATTTTAGATTTACACTCCAATTAACACTTTGTTTTATATTTTAGAAATATACACTAATACAAATATATAAATAATACAAATTAATATAAATGTATAGCAAATATACAGCTAAAATAGTGAATCAAACTAAGAGTTAAACTTCACCGAACCACAAAATTAATTATAAAATATTGACATATTAATATTGGTATTCAGAATGAAAATTACATACCACATTTGTTTTGACATTTTGAGCTATCACATTTTGGGTTGTTCTTTGATTCACAGGTACATGTAGTGCAACCATCCGGCTTTGTCCATTCACCTTGGTACTTTCTGTGCATCTTACCATCATCAAAACAGACAGCATCCTCACAACACAGGGAGTAAAGATTCCTACCAGAGGGATCTACGATACAAACATAGTCACCGAAATCTTGACATCTCTTACTTCCCCCTCCTCTGCATTTGTATGGGGCATTAGTTGAGTCATCAATTAGAGTCTTGCAATCTTCTGGATATTTCCTATCCCTACAACATGTGTTTGTTCCTCTATTGCACTTGTATGTGTTTGGACAATCCCTACTTGTTCGGCATGTTGCTGTTGGGTGCTTGATACATCGTTTCTTTCCATCAGTTGATGTGGCCAAAATTAAAACCACCAGAATATATGAAAGTGTCATCTCATTGAATCTCATTTTTAACTTATCTCATCTGCTGGATTGTAGGACTGTGCTGTTGTTGCTCACTTATATCATATGACATCTGCATAAAATACATATGTTGTGGTAGCTGGATCCGTGTGGTTCATTGTGAGGTTGCATCACCTGTACAAATAACCCCTACATAAAACATTGTGGCAGTTTCATTGTTTTTATGAGTGAAATAGAACGAATTGGGGAGAAATTATGAAGAACAAAGTCATACAAATTACATGTAGAATTAACATTGTACAGTTCATGCATAGAAAGCAGGAAAAATGTTATTTATGTAAACATCTGGTAAATAGGAATAGGAACGACAAGAGGAACATTTTAATCACAATTAGCAAGTATTAATTCTGGTAATTCCAGAATTAAGTTCCGTTACCCCACATCAATGTGGCTAAAGCAAAATTACAAATTCTAAGCCGTGGTAACTGTGGCATAGTTGTAATGTTTCAGTGAGTGCCCATAGTAATGTTGTATCTAGCAAACGCAGTAAATTATATGAGTGCAAAGGTTCATCAAATAGGGTTGTATTATGGGATCGTTATCATGGGTGGTAACCGTGGTATTATGGGAATGTTACTATTATGGGTTTAAGTATGGGTTGTATTATGGAATGACGTAAAAAACATACCTAAAAACATCAATATTTTCATCAGCTTAAAAAGCTAGATGGGTGGCATTGAAAATTGAGTATTCCATCGAGCTCAGAAAATACAGACATTATAATAAATAATAAAAATGTCAAAGTCATTGGGCACCTTCATTTTAGACAATGTAGAAAGTCAACATCAGTTTGAATACAATTACCAATCATTCTTTTCATATCCTCTTGAATATAATCTGAATAAATAGATTGTCATGATGAGAAACATAAATAGATGCAAATGAAATGTTTGTGGTTATATAAATTATTAGAAAATATTGTAGGAGCACGTCTGTTTAAACATATACTGTACATGTAGATTATTAGTTTTTTAATGATTAATTAATCATCACAGGATATTCATTTGTTCATCAGGAGACCATTAAAAGAAATTTCCGTTAAGTTTGGAATTCTTTAAGTCCATTGTTCTCTAACTATGACATCATTATATCCATGGTTACAATTATTGATTTACGATTTCGTAACTTTATGAAGTTTCTGTTAATCACCACCAGCATATTATTTATTGTATCAATACCATGTATACTGTTTGAGAAATTAGGAAATTCAACAAAACAATTATCAAAAAACTTGGTCTGTTGTTGAGGTTGGGAAATTTTTTTATGACTACGTAAGAGCTCCATATACTCAACAGATGATATGAGATAAGATTAATTAGATTGAATTGATATATTTATTGTGGTACCTGTGAAGGTTTTTATGTTACATCCAATTTTGTATACTATTCAATTTTATACATTTCTGTTTCACAATGATAATAACAATATGTTGTTTATTTCATTACTTTAATAGCAATATGTACATACAAAGCAACACATATTTCTCACATTATACCTTTCATGATATGAACAGCTTAAGGTTAACATGCATGTGTATTACATGTCTTATCAAAAATTAAGAAATAGCTTTTTGTCCAAAATATCACCATGCTATGTCACTACCGCAAGTGGTTGGTGTTCGGTGGTTGGTGTTTGGCGGTCAGCATCTATAACAAATTGCAGGTGGTAACATTTTGCATAAACATCTATTACAGTCTAGCTTCGTCGGTGACGATAAATATGATGATGTTGAGAGACAAATACCAGATCTAAACAAAGTCCAGCTTCTTTCAAAGAATCTAAATCGCATGTCTTTTGGTAAGTTACAAGTCATTATAGGTATCAAACCCCAATAAGAATAATGTTCATTGTATGGTGAAATTGAATAATTAAGACTGTCTGCCTTGTGCACCTATATCATATATATGAATGAAAACAATGGATATATTGACTCTTTTAGTTTATAATTTTTTTGAAATAAATTGTGATTTCCAGACTGAAATTAACTTAACGAAGAAGTTTTGTGACAGAAATTGATTGTCTTAAATTCAGGTCCTTCTCGTCAACCTACTATACAAATGAGTTAATGTAATAGGCCCTGAGCCCATATTTGATATAATACTGTACGAATACTAACCAAAGTATCATTATTCTCTTGTAGACAAGCCACGTGAAGCAGCTAAGAATCAAAAAGTTGGAAGAAGCACTGAGCTGAGCCCCAAGTATGATGAAGCAACACAGTTGAAGAAAATGGAGGAGACTTGGAACAGAGAAAAGGTTGTTGAAAATTCTGATGATGGAAAGGATTTTGACACAATAGGTGGAGAGGAAGATGAGAAGATTAAAGTATGTTTAAAGGAAATTTATATTTCTTGATTTAATTTAAATAAACAATAGGACTTGAATATCTTTTAGGTTGTAATCTGCATTTCTACTTGTTGACAAAATTATTGAATATTGGCTAGTATTAATTATCTCAATACAGTGTTTTTCTATATCGTATATCGTGTATAAACACTTGCTGTATGGATAGATGGAGCAATTAAACCTCAAAATAAAAATGAACAGTTAATAGCTGAAATTGTTGATTCATCATGCTCAGAAATGGGTGACAATGAATTGTAGACATTTAATCAGAAAATAATTTATAATTTAAGTTCTGTGTTCACATTAAAAACAATTCAGGCCATGTATATACTTTAGAAAGGTAACTTCCATTTCAGGCTAGTATTAACTATGATGCCGTCCCACGTACAGATGAGAAAGAAGTCCGAAAGGCAATGGTTGTTCTCAATGGGAAAGCTAACATTGACTCCATTCATAAGGATCAGGCTAGAACTGGCTATAAGTGGCAATTCAATATGAAAGATGGAAATCGCATTGAAGCTCTTGACATTCCAGTCAAACAATACCCATTACATAAATATGGCAATATTGAAGAGGATAACAAACTTAAGTTTGATGATGTTAAAGCACAAAATTATAATAAAGAAAGTGACAAGGGTATAAATGGAAATAACCAGGTGTTCAAGCAGGAAATAGATCCTAGAAAATTAAAAACGACAACAAAGAAAATCATTCCACCAGATGGCGCTGTGAAACAACAGCAAGAACGAATACAACCCCCTTTAGTTAAGGGATCTCGTTCTAGGAAACGCTTTGCCAAAGGAACAACATCCAAAGATAAATCTAGGAAAAAGAATAATCATACTCATAAAAATTTGAACCCTAGTAAAAGAGTTGACGCTAGTTTAGACCACATAGACATCGAACCTGGAAATACAATGGTAAGATATGATATGATACTTTCTTGTCTTTTATAAAAATTGTTTTTATAAATCAATAAACCAAGCAAGTACTTGGTTTTGTCTTCCCTCTTTGTATCAGAAATATGTATTTTATCTTTATCTGTATTATCTAAACCTATATTATATCACCTGTATAAACCTATATTATATCACCTGTATTCAATCAGAATATTTAGCTAGAAAATTACTCTCTATTTTCTGCTTTTGAATAGCCAGCATAATTTCACATTTCCCAAAGTCCATAAAATTTACAATTGAGATTATTAAGGTATTGTGAGCATCAAAACTGAAAATAAAATTCAGATGTAAATATAAGAGGATGTAACTATAGATCATTATTAATGTTGAGATTTTTTTCTCAAGTGGATGCAAAATTCTCAGTTTTTAATTCTGGCCAAAGTGCCCATTTTACATATCCCCCTCCCACATATATGTTTTGTATTGATCTCTTCCAGCGGAGGCTACTTGATATTGACCAGGAAGAGTTTGAGAAACGTTATCAAGCAAGACTACAGCGCTATAAGAAACAACTAGAAAAACTTAGATCTGAAGGTAATCAGGGGCTCGTTACTTAAAAAGTCATAATGACTGATTAATTTTCTTAAATAGGAAACAACAAAAATTTAAGTAATGGCTCTCCATCTCCTCACACTGCATATTTGGACATATTTTTGATCCCATTTAAGATGAACTGAAAAATCATAGACTTTATTTGAGGAAACAAATATGTTATCTCAGTAAAGTTCCCTATTAGATGTGGTCATAGTACCAACGTGTTATGATGTACATGTAGTTATAAACACGGTTTCTACATACACATATTTTTAATGAGGTTTTCTTTGTTCCTTTTCTAGAGCCTGCAGATCCCAACAAACAAGAAATAGCCTCACACACTCAACACTTTAAGTTTAAAACCAAACCAAGAGTTGATCAAAATTCTAAAACCAAAGGATTGCAAGGAGAAGGGCAAAGTAAGTATTTATATAGTAGCTGGGACAGAACAAGTCATTCCCTCTTTTTTTGATAACTTTTCAATTCTCAGTATTTTTCATTACATTTTTACAGGATATAAAACTTATTTGAAATTGAGTGAAATTTAAGTTTCCTTATAAATCCTGAAAATATCAGGTTGCAAAAATCTTAGGTCGCTGTCCACTGGCTTCTGGGTTGATAATTATATCACACCCTTATACTATATTCTAGTATTTGCATGTAAAACATGGTGGCCCAGTAGTATTTGGGAGGTTTTGAAATTAAGGTATATCCTGGGGACTGTAATCATTGTCTTGAAATGATTAATGGGTTTGGAAAAGAGCAACTGAAAAGTTGAAGAGGAAGTTCTTGGTTTATCTACATTGTAACATATTTATTTATGAGCAGTATACTATTTATTTTGAATTAGGAATAATCAAAGTTGATCACCAGAACTCCCCAGCAAATGTAGAAAATGCAATTGACATGGTGCACCATGGCTTCATAGCAAAAGATGACTTGCGTGAAAATGATGAAGATGATGATGACAAAAATGAAAATGATGAAGATGATGATGACAAAAACAAAAATGATGAATATTATGATGCACAGGAGGATGATAATGATAATGTTGAAGACAGTGAGAGCAAAGATGAATATAATCCTCACATTATGTGTTCAAACTTTATAGCACAGTATTAACAGATCTTTCTTCTTTCGTGATAACTAACATATATTTCTGTTTCAGCTATTTGACTTTACTCTGTGTGGGTGTTTCAAAGGTATTCTGTGTAGCAACATAAGAATACATGTAGTACATCAATGTAATATTGACCCTATGTTTTCGTGTTTATGAATATTAACTCCCTTTAATTACATGTACTTCTAGGGGCATTTCTGTGGACTCTTTACTTGACTTTATTTTATTCAACCTTCTGTTATTCACTTACTCTATTGGACTTTACCTTACTTCACATGAAAATATCCACCATTATTCTTAAATCATGTAGCCCTTTCAGATGTGTATTCCAACAGTATGGTTTTGGTAATTCTTTTTTTTCTTATTATGTCTTTTAAGCTAATGGTGTTCAGGCTAAACTATCTCATATTACTTTCTGGAGTAAAATATTTTTTGTATGTGGGGAATTATTGATTTATCTTTTTGATTGAAGACCTTTTGCTACCCTCCCTAAACTACCACTTGTATATTATATTAATACTTTAGAATATATGTACTGGAGACAGTTAGCAAGACTCTAAATAAATTGTCACCACCAATCACTCAAATATTCTATTTTAGAATTCAATACATTATTTGAATATGTTTATTTATCAATTAATCAAACATGTTCTGGGTATCAATCATTACCTGTAAATATCTACCCTAGGCAAACATATACCAGTGTCGTCATAGTATGTGTCATATATCATTTTAAAGCTTATCCAAAGTTACATTGATTCGCCAAGTATCATGGTTCAACTCTCAAATGTGAAAAAATTACAGGCATTTCAAAATTTAGTGTTTGGTCAAAATTAAGTTTAATTTTACACTAAATCAATAGTCAATGTGTCCTCCCGGGCCATTTTAACTACAGGGTTGGATGGATATTGAGTTGGAAAAAGAGAACAGTGAGGGTAGAAACTCTAAGGAAACTCTTCTAAAGTTCCTTAACAGGTTTTAAGAGGGTTATAAAATTCCACACTCCTATTTGAAGGGCTTTTAAGGTCATATCTGAAAATAATCGCTGCTGTGAGCATGGCCAAGGGGGGACTCATTGACTAGTGATGTGGTGTAAAATTGAACTTTATTTTGACAAAACACTAACTTTAAAAATGACTGTAACTTTTTCCCATTTCGGAGTTAAACCATGATACTTGGCAAATCATTGTAACTTTGGATAAGCTTTAAAATGATATATAACACATACTATGAGGACATTGGAATATGTCTGCCTAGGGGGGGGCATACTTTCGGGACACCCTGTATACCATGTTTACCTTATTTTTGTTTTAAACTTACATCAATTTATAAAACATTTATATGAAATATAAGTTACTCATTGTATCTGTCTATGTTGAAGATCCTGGTAGAGAGGAGGTGAGACAGCCCCAGACTGAGGACTCTCCAGCTGGCCAAGGCAAATCAAAGGAGAACCCACCCCCTCCAACCCCTCCATTTCTGAGGTCAAGAGATAATGTTGAAGAGTCAAAGATGACTGTTGATGATGAGGATGATGATGATGAGGCTGACGATGATGATGAAGATGAGGAGCCAGAAAATGAGGTCAGCAAATATGTAAACACACACAACTAAGTACTATACTGTAACGCAGTAAAACCTCTCTTCAGTGAACACCATAATACTTCTTATCTTTTTGTTTGGACTTCATTTCAAAAACTCTTGACATGAATATTCTTGACCTGTCTCAAGTATGTGTTCACTGTAGACAGGTTTTTCATTCATAACTAATATTTCTTGAGATATCTTGATGTGTACTTGAATGTAGTTATATATTTTTAGGTATTATACATAGTGTGAAACATTTACTAAATACTAATACAATTTACTAATTTATAGCCTCCCTAGAATCAGTTAAAAAGATAACTACAGTATATATTCCACTCATCCACTCATGTAAGTAAATGGCCCTGTTTAATTATGGCAATGATCGTGATGCCTCTGAGCTAGATTAGGTTTAGCATGGTTCTTCTTAAATAAAAAGTGCATTGTAAAATACCAACAGCACAGTTTTGGGACTATCTTATAAGTTGTACAGGGTGTCCCGAAAGTATTTGGGCCCCCCTAGGCAGACATATACCGATGTCTCCATAGTACGTGTCATATTTCATTTTAAAGCTTATCCAAAGTTACATTGATTTGCCAAGTATCATGGTTCAACTCACAAATGGGAAAAAGTTACAGGCATGATACTTGGTAAATCAATGTAACTTTGGATGAGCTTTAAAAGGATATGTGACACATACTATGGAGACATTGGTATATGTCTGCCTATGGGGGGGCCATACTTTCGGGACACCGTGGAGTATGCAGTGTGTCGCTTTTTTAACATTTTTGACTATACATTTTAATTAACAACTCTCATACCAGAACTGCTTTTTTATTATGTTATAATGATAATGAATGTAGAGGGATAAGGGACAGGGCACTTAATGTATTCTAACATTTAATGTATTATTTACAAAGGCACAGGAATGAAATCTAGGGATATTTATAAGTGGCCGGCCATTAGGATCTGCATTTTGTAAATTTATGTCTTACTTACATTTTATACAAAGCTACCAGTTTTAAATGGATAACATTTATTTGATTTTTAATTTTTATGTCACCACCACAAGTAGTGACATATTGTTATGGTCTCCAATTTTTTTGTGGACTGTGTTTGATTGTTGGAATTTGGCATTCAGCATTCAGTGGTTGGCACCTGTAACAAATGGCAGGTGGTGGCATTTTGCATGTTAATGCCTTGTTTATGGATGAGGCTGGGTTCCATTTGAAAATCTTAACACAACAATATATCTACTCTACATGACCACTTATATTTATGCCTATGTAATATGTAATGGTGCAACAGGATTCTTGGATTTGTTTAAATTAAGGCTAAGGCAACTTAAGTATCTGGTTCTGATTCTTGTATTTTTTTCATAAATATGACCTGTTGGGGCTTTTTATTTGGTTTATTTAAAAGGGAATTTATTTTATTTTCTACTTTTACAAATAATTATATTACAATAAAAACATGCAGGTGAGTTCCATATTTAACATCATTGATATCATATTTCCATCAATATTGGAATTTTTGAGATCTATGTTTTAAGTAAAGATCCATTATTGATTCGAGTGGGGTGTTGTTTTTGGGGACATAGGTTAAGAAATTTGAAACAGATATTAACTTGCAAAAGCCTTACATATATTATGCATGTTCTATAGAAGATAAGTATGAGCATACTTGTCGATAAGTATGAGCATACTTGTCGATCAGTCATTAAATTTGAATTGAGGTTAGGTAATTAGCCTAAATTGTATGCCGAACTATTTATGTGGCATTGAACTGTGTATGACTCTGAAGCATTAGTGTGACACTGAGACCTTGGTGTGACACTGAAAGCTTGATTAGACTTTGAACACTTGGTGTGACACCAAGACCTTGGTGTGGCACTGATCCCTTGGTGTGACACTGAAAACTTGATGAGACTTTGAACACTTGGTGTGACACTGATCCCTTGGTGTGACACTTTCAACATTTGATGTGACACTGAGCTCTTGATGTGACACTGTATATATTTAGTGTATCAGTCAATGGATGCCAAAAATGACTTTAAAGGTTGCAAGTTTTACTTTTATTACATTATACACACATATTTTTGGATCTGGTCTTCCCATAATATAGCTATTAGTTTTTTCTCAATGATAGCTTATGTAACCTAACTGCTTGATGTTTATTCTAATGCACCGGGTTAGCAGGATTTTGATTAGTTTAAGTTTTGTTTGAATTAAGAGATTCAGAGAGATTGGGTCTTACTTTGGCCTTTCTTTTCCATCTCTATTTCATATTACTATATACATTTATGTATAATTGTGGTATCATTTTATTTTATTTGATATTGCTATTTATATATTTGTCCAAAATTTGAAAATGGGTAAGATTGATAAAATAAAATCCATAACTAAATATTTAGGTAAAAAAACACTAATTTAAACTAAAATGAATTTGAAAGTATATCAAAGTACTGATAGATGGTACTAATAAATTAAGGTAGTTCAAGGAGAAATGAATAACTTATGCAAGACTGTAAGCTTGTGTAGTGTTATGATGTACAAATAAGTGTTAATTTGGTTTACTAAACCAACCTGAAAATTGTATGAATGTTTATAAAAACTTTTTCAATCAGAGGAATATTTGTAAAAATAAAATGAAATTTTGTATTGGAATTACAGGCTGCAACGATACCCCATGTGTATGTTAGATTTGGATCTCAAAATGAGGCTGAAAGTCGCTATAACATCATGTGGAAAGTACTCAAGTCTGAATTCCAGCATCATGACTCTCATATGGATTACTTCAGTCTATTCACTTATGGTAAGTTCATCATGGTATTTATTACATAAAGGTAGACCCAGTTGAATGAATATGATATGGATTATTAACTTGTTGATACTTTGTCTGGTTGTTCTTTGTATGTGTTGGGTGCAATTAAATGCAGTCATTTAGTGATTAATTACATTCAGTATTTAGTTACATTATTGTCACTTGATAATAATGAATTAAGTGGAATTGTGTTTTTATACGTCATTTGGTTATCATTTTATTTGAAGACCAAAAATAATTTTATACCATATTAAACAATAAATTTCAACAAAATTGATAAGTTGATATAAACTTCCCTCATGGTTTCCAAGCCATATTTATATTTAACATCTGAATCTATAATTGAATATTTATGTAGGTCGAGGTGAGGAGAGTCTACTGGGTTTCAAGATTGCTCACAAATATCCGAAGTCTACTGTTGTATCTGTAGTTGCCCCAGCTGCTTATTCCAGGGCAAAGGAACTAAGGTAATACCACCCCCTATCTTCTATTTATACTAAGCAATGATGTGCTTTGGGGAAACTTAGAATTTTCAAAAATTTGTTTTGCATGTGAGGTCATTGGTCAATTTTGCTGAATATAAAAGTGAGAGAGGGGTTTGTAAAAAGGATATTAAAGTTTCAAAATTAACAAGCCCAAATTTTTGAGTAGTTTTTGTCAGTGTTTGAAGAATGATATACCAATTCAATCAATTACATGTATGTTGTCATAATAGGACATGGGTTAAAAGAAATAAGTAGAAATAAATTTAAATATGACCTTGTATTTCTCCAGGAGTGTCATGTCGAGTGTAAGTGTTGATAATGAACTTTTGTTACTGAGTGACCTTACTCCATACATGGTGAAACAGTTGACTGACCTACCAGAGCTCTTCAAATACCAGGTGAGGCACCCCAAATAAATTCACACATTTTCTAGATTCAATTCATAGATTAATATACAGTGTATACACAGCATTTGTATCATAAGACCTCATACCTTATAGTCAACAAATATAACAGATGTATCTTTGGAATGTTCATTTCATTATGAAGTAATTCACAGTGGTTGTGCCATTTTTGACATTTCATTTATATTATTTTATAGATATTAGGCTTGGAGACATTTGCATCATTGGTTCATCTTGGACAAAGCTTCCTATATCACCTAGGCAACATGTTGATGATGTCACAAATCACTTTTCTAGAGGTACCTTCACCTGTCCAATTAGCCCTGGCGCAGATTCTACTTGCAAATGAATCCCAGACTCGACAAAATGATGCATCAGTGATTCTAAAGGTGAGATACATGTATATGCTTCTCTTTTACTTCTCAAAGGAGCTGTAAAAGGGACACTCATTTATTTGATTCATATCCACAAAAAATCTTGGTACTTTTAAAACCTTGACCTATATTTCAATATACCCATCCTCTTGTTTGGAAGGCATTTCCTTTAAGGAAATAAATGAAAATAAACTTCATGTCTTCAAATAAATCTGCTTATAAATGTAGTTTTTCACTTCAGTTTCAAAATCAGGTATCTAAAAAGGCATTTTCATAATCTTCAGGGGCTCATCACGGAATCCCTCAAGGCAGTAGGAGCAACAGCTCAAGTCCTGGTCCTCCCTGACTATGGCAGAGGGTCCAGCCAGGGACGACTCATGAAGGTTCAGTTGGAATCATTCAAGAGACAGGTTAGTTGAATACAGTAAAACCTGTCAAAGTGGAACAACCCTGGTCCTTCTTAAATGTCTTCCACTTGGGAGGCGTTCCACTTATTGAGGTTAATTTAACATTAATCTGTTTGTCTTTTGGCTCTGAGAAGTGTTCCACTAACAGAGGTGTTCTACTTAGAGGTTATGTCACTATGACGTGAAATATGCCTGAGTTCTCCCAATATAGGCCGACCTTGGGAGGCTCTATATTTGGGCAAGAACGAAGGCATATTTCATGTCATAGTGACATAACTGATGTATTACATGCCTTTGTTCCCATGGTTACTTTGTATCAATGACGTGACGTCATGATATTATCATGGTTATTAAAGAAATCTAATATCAAAACGAGGTAAGCGGGCTATATCGGGGTAATCGGGCAATATCGGTGGATATAGCTCGCTAACTTTCCCATTGACTTCCATACAAATGCTTCGCTAGGTATGTTCTACTTCTAGAGATGTTCCGCTTTACAGATGTCACTGTATATACAGAATATTTCATATGTACGCACCCCCCATAAACTCACATATGTAGCATTGGTACCCTATCATAATATATATCATTTTGTTTGTCGTGGAAAGTTGCATAAGAATGCAAAGTTTCAGAATCCATTGGTGTCCCTGAAAAAAAGATACAATGAATCAAGGTATAGGGGTATGGGGTCATTTAGAGGGCAATTTCTGGTCGTTTTTGGAGTCCGATGATCTATTCATTTTGTCTGCTACCCATTTTTAGTCATAAAGGTCGCATGAATCCTATCTATATATCTTTGTGAATAACTGCCACACACGTGTCAACTGAACTCTGCCATGATGATAACTGCTAGAAATCTGCATTACCGAAACTACATTTTTCAATTGTCCTCGAAATGACCAGAAATTCCCCTCGAAATGACCCATCCCAACATTCTTTGATATGTTGTATCTTTTTCAGGGACACCAATGGATTCTGACACTTTGCATTCTTATGTAACTTTCCATGAGGAACAAAATGTTATATAATATGATAGGGTTCCAATGCTACATGTATGAGTATATGGGGGGGAGTGCATACATATGAAGCACCCTGTATATTAGTTATTACATGGGATGTATATGAATTATGCTTGGAGGTCTTAGATATGGAGTTTGTCTCAAGTGAAAAAAGGAGCAAATGATTTCACAAAATAAAAAAATCCCATAAATTGGTGTTTTAGTTCCCGCAGGGATCTTTACATTCTGCTTTTATTTCCCTAAGCCATTCCAAAGCATTGGATAAATTTATACCATGATCAGTATGATCATTTATTTATGAGATACTGGATTTTTTTATTGGCTCACACAGTGAGCCTATGGGATCGACCAGGCGTCTGTCCGTCCATTGGTCCGTCCGTCCATCCGTCAACATTGACCACACAAATTAAAACTGCTATTCGGATTGAGTCATATCCATATGCATATCCATAATGCCTATTTGACCTATCATCGCCATTTCCCAAGTTCACCTGGTTTCCGAGAAATTGCTGATTTTGACGTCAAAATGTCAAATTTTCTGTAAATATGAGACACTTAAATACTAGACACTTTGTTGAAGTAGAACTTTTAAATAACTTGTAGAAGTTGCTGTATATGCAATATCTGAAGATTTCAAAGCTCTTGAAATTACAGTTTTTGGTGTTTACTCTATGAAATTTGACAAAAAGTAGGACTTCGTCATTTTCAGGGAACTTTCTCAAGTAGAAAGTCAATCATCATTGGCTGCACAAAACACTGTGTGAGCACAGGACCGTGGGTCCTTTATTTTATTTTAGAAGTGTTTTTAAATCAAATATGGTATTAGAGGTTTCCGGATATTTAACCAAATTTCAGTCCAGTTGGATTTATTTTCAACAATGGAAAAGCCTACCTCAGTGGGGGGGGAGGTAATGTATATTACCATATTTATTACCATCTTACATTATCTCCAAAAGAATAACTCTCCTTGACTATGTGCATCTGTATACCTAAAATATCTTCTAGGACATATAAGTAGCCATCCCCTAAGCTACTGCATAAATTGCACAAGGCCTGATCTTGAGGACCCAAAGCAGACCTATAATTTTTTGTAAAATTGAGCCCCAATCTTCCAAAACCTCCCAAAAATGAATGAAGCAAGACCCAAAATAGACCCATTTTAACCCTAAATTGAGAAAAGAAAAAATTCACCTTTAAGAAAATATTACACCTGACCTGAATCTACAGTTTGAGGTTAGACAAAATAGGGGTAAAAAGATATCCTGTGTCTGTATGTTTTTGTGTTTGAGACAAAATGCGAAAATAAATATTTTGAACAAATTGTTTCTAGAGAATCCTGATATGAAGGATAAGCAGTTCCCAGAAAGGGTACACTATTCTTGTTTAAGGAGGATGGTATCAATCAGCAGCTAGAAAAATGACAACAAGGAAGTTTATTTATAACCAATGGCTGTTTTTAGCTTTTGTAATTAGATATTGATTCAATTTAAACTCAAGATGGAATTCCCATAAGGGAACCTGTTAAAAAAAGACTAAACAATGACTGATTTGCAACTTTGATTTGGAAAGGGGTTTAAGGCAATAGCATGGCAAAAAATGTGGGGCCCCAAACCTGGAATAGGCCCTAAATTAAGAAATAATGCCCAGTGATGCCAGTTTGTTACCTAAATTGCCTAATTTATATGGGGGAAGCAGATTTTGGGCCCTAAAAAGAAATTAGTTCAAAACTATGTTAATGGAAATAACAATAATTGAGAGGGGGACGGTATTGCCAGGGAGGGGGATGGGGTCATAATATTACAGTTTACTTACAAGTGTGAACAAAATATCTATTGATTGTGTCCCACTGAACTTGTGTTATGGAGTTAGTTACTGCTTATCATTTGCAAGTATTTGTCTCAGATAAACTGCTACATTTGCTAGACCAGGGGATAAACCTGTTGTTATCAATTATTTCTTGAAAATTAGGAAAACATTTAAACCTGAATAAGGTCCTGCCTATATGTAAACAAGTCATATTTTCTATTGAGAGGCAATTAGTACTGTATTAAAGTTTATTTGAACTGGTAAGTTAAAGTTTTCACAGAAATTGTGCAGAAGAATTGAGAATAGGACATTTTACTTCCATCGGAATTGTATAAATAATGCTAGAATGAGAAGGTCTTCATCACATCAGTTACTGGACTCCCAGAGACAACACAGCATCAGAACTGAAGACTTATAGTTTTGCCGGATCACTTGAATTAAAGGTAAGCAAATATAATATGATTACATTTCAATACATTAAAACATTCAATATCTATTTATTTTCTCAAATTATATGTGTTCATAAAACAGCCATAAATGAATGTTTTGTAGTGGGATGCATGTGGTTTATAGATACAGTTTACTAGTTAATCTTTGGTGTGAAAGATCTGATACAGTTTGAGAGGCTTGAATTTTCTTTACAACTACACAGTACACACCACCAATAAATATCAATGAATAATTAATTACACATGTATTTATGTTTTAAAGGTATAAACATGAAAGCTACTATTGCCTTCCTCCTTCTGGCCGTTGTTGCCTCTATACACACCAGTGATGCCTGGAGGATACGTCTCCCAAGACTTGGTCTACGTCGCATCATTGCACCAGTCTGCAGTATGTACTGTAACACAAAATGCACCCTCCCTGGGATATGTGCTCCTGTCTGCCACAAGGTCTGCAATATCGGGCGTAAACGTCGTTCAGTTGCCATTAATGATGACGAGAAGCCATTTTCTTCAGATCTCTCCAAATATGATTCAGACAATGATGACAAAGTAACCCTGTCGGAGTTCGCTGAAGCAATCTCATCCACACCTGAAAAGTGCACCGAAGCCTTCGGAATGGCTGATGAAAATGGTAAGTTTGTGAAGCTTTTGCTAATTTTTATGGTTTTTATTATTGTTGAAAGTCAGTTTCATGGCATAATTTTGAATGCTTTGTTATTTGAAAAATTGAAAATGAATTGATTGATTTGACAAAGAAGGAATTTTTCAGTCCAAAAAGATTTTCATATTTATCAAACTTATCTAAATGTTAATTTTTTTCTCTCACACATAAATTACCATTTTTATTCAATAAGTATTAGACCAATTTCTTTTAATTCATTTCACCTATTGGGTATTGGCCATGATGTCATTCTTATATTGCTGTCGGAAATGTTTATAACTTATTGCTAATTTCGAAAGCTATTGGCCATGATGTCATTCTTATATTGCTGTCGGAAATGTTTATAACTTATTGCTAATTTCGAAAGCTTTTTTAACAATTTTGTTTACAAACATTATTACTTGCAATATATCCTGGTTTCTTTTTTCACCAAAAGGTGTCAGGATTTATTGGAACTATCTATTCTTTAAATGATTCTCTCTTTAAACCATGTTCTCTATTTGTGCTTCCAGGAGATGGTGTATTGGATATGGGTGAGTTCCTCCGTGGACCATTCCGCTTCACATCTGAAGAAGTGGAACAAGTACAGGACACACCAGATAGGATTGGAAAGTATGCAGATGATGATTATTAAATCCCCGATGAAATGGGACAAGTGATCTCAATTAAAAATAAACTTTAATGGACTTATTTATAAGTGAAAGGACCTTAACAGAAGGCTGTGATAGGACGTTGATCATATTATTCTATGTGTAATTGTATTCTTTTCCAAGTTCCATTTGCAATATATGCCAATGTGCAATGTTTATATATGTTATATTTTGTAAACACTGATCTCAAATTGAAAGCACAACATTTAGAGTTATTTAGGATCAGAATAGTAAAATGATATGGTTTACCCATTATATAATGTATTGGTGTTTATTTAAATACATTGCATGTATATTTTTATACACATTTTTCTGTAAATAAATACTTTAACATCAATGATATATTTATATGTTGCAGTACTATAGCCTACTTTTATTAAAATGTTTATGAATCTCCAATGTATAGGGTGACTCATAAGTTATAGATATCAGTTTTTAGTTAGAATTTTATTTCTCAGCCCTAATTCCTGATTTTCAAAATCACTCCAAAAGGAGTATGGTAACCATGATTAGAAATACCCATGGTGGTACAAATCAGTTCCTGTAATATGTATGTCAAATCAGCACCTTTGAGACTTTAAAACCAAATATAAAATTATTTTTGCTTCACAAAATTTAGGAATTTTGCCTTAAAGTCACTCATGTTTGGTTAAGAAGATTCAAAGTTCCTTAATTTTTCATAGTGCCCAAACAATAAGCTTTAAGTGAAGATTAATCCTGAAAATGTTAGTGAAAATGGTGCTACTTTCTTCAAGTGACATCAAAATTACAACAATCAAACAATTGGTGTTATTGGCCATGGTTTTAAATCGGATGTATATAATGCTCATGTGCAAGAGTTGAAATCTGACAAAAAAACATTTCAAACATTTCATTCAAAGCTAGAAAATCAAACGATGTAATGATAAACATTTACTGATTTGGAACATTATGTAACTTTGACTCAATCAACACATACGCTATATGAATGACATATCAAAGTATGTTGTTACATTTGTTGAATGTGATTATAGAGAATATTACAGATTTTTATCGTACCTGAAAAGGTACAATATTGTCGTCAGCTTGACGGGCGGGCGGGTTGGTGGCATCTCATTTTCTTATCATCGCGATTCCAGGAAAACCATAGAACGGATTTATTTCAAATGTTTACACATGTTACATGGTATGAAGTTCTAGAGCTGATTAACTTTTCAGTGGCCATCTTGCATTCTGGTGGCCGTCTTGGAAGTTTTTAGATAAATCTTGTCATCGCGATTCCAGGAAAACCACTCCACAGACTTTCTTCAAATTTTCACACATGTTACATGGGAAGAAGTTCTAGAGCTGATTAACTTTACAGTGGCCATCTTGCATTCTGGTGGCCATCTTGGAAGTTTTTAGATAAATCTTGTATCGCGATTCCAGGAAAACCACTTCATGGATTTACTTCAAATTTTTACACATGTTACAAAGTAAGAAGTTGTAGAGCTCATTCATTTTCGGCGGCCATCTTACATTCTGGTGGCCATCTTGGAAGTTTTTAGGAAAACCACATAACGGATTTGCTTTAAATTTTCACACATGTAAGATGGTAAAAAGTACTAGAGCTGATTAACTTTTTGGCAGCCATTTTGCATTCTGGCGGCCATCTTGGAAGTTTTTATTAGATAAATCTTGTCATCGCTATTCCAGGAAAACCACTTGATGGATTTATTTCAAATTTTCACACATGTTACAATGTTACATGGTATGAAGTTCTCGAGCTGATAACATTTTGGTGGCCATCTTGGATTCTTGGAAGTTTTTAGATAAATCTTGACATCAGGATTCCACACTGCTATGTTTTAGGTATGATATTGTTCACCCTGTGACTTGTCTCTATTAATTGTGATGGGTATTTTAAATGGTTGAGCGAATCATATGAACATATTAGCTTATAGGGGTTGATCAAAACACATTGAATCTTGATGTTATTTCAACATGATCCACCATTATTATGTCACCACCAAAAGTAGTGACATATTTTTATAGTCTCCAACATTTTTGTGGCTGGTGTTTGGTGTCGATCTGTAACAGCATTTGGTGTCTGTAACAGCGTCGATAGTCAACATTTGTAACAAATGTCAGGTGGTGACATTTTGCTTGTTTATATTTTATTTTTCAATGTTAACCTTTGTGTTTTCTTATTTAGGTGACTGTTGACTGTAATGATGATTGGGCCTCACTGAAGCTTTCTAACAATCAAGTAACCATGCAGACCCAGGTTGGCATAGAGACAGGTCACAAGTTATCTCGAGCCATGGAGGGTGTAGGCTTACAATTTCTTTTAACGATAGGCCTGACAAATCCTGTAAGGTATGTTGCTTCTGAATTATCGTTGAAGTGTGGTGTCTTGACATTTTTTCTAGCTATCTTTCATTGCCCAGTATGAAGTTTTCTTTTGTTGCTGCTATTATGGGACGTTATATAGCTGAATCTTATGTCTTAGTGTTGGAAGCGTAGGTACCAATAAACTGATTCCTACATTTGGCTGGCAGTTCTTTGATTCCCTCTCTTCTACTTCGTACTGCAAAGCAGTTTCATATTGACAAGAAGTGTTTGGTGCTTTTCAGGCGTCTTTTATTCCGTGAATACCTCAATCTTCCCGTATATGAGAACATGTGTTCCAATCACATTGTGTTCTTTAACCAGACACTACTCTACCACCCTGCTACATCAGAGATATCTCAACTCGTTACCAATTTCGATGGACTGAAACAGCAGCAAGCTCAGGTGGGTACCCATTGTAATGACTTTTATGTTATCAAATTTGGGAGGATGAGCGATTTAGCTTATTGAGGAGTGATCTGAAAAAGTCCATTTTCCTGCATATAACATGTCTGCCTCTACGTCTACGTACATGTCATAACAGGTCGACTAGTAAAGCAATCTGTGTTTAAGAATACTCATTTAAAGTATACAGGGGGTTCATAAAGTTCTTGCAAAAGTCCTCTAAATTTTTTGTATCTCAGTCAATCTGGCTGAAATTTTCAGTCAGTATACCTACACTATTCATACATTGAGATCCTAAGTTATAATTAAAAGGTTCTTGAGGAAAAAAAGTCATGGTTGGTATAGTCACATGAGCCGGGGGTAGGCGGAGCAAGAAAATAGGTTTTGTTACAGCCGTTTATTTTGGAATGAAATTTGCTTTCTGAATATATGCACTGATATGCCCTCTTACAGGGATCTAGTGTGGATCATGTCAAACATACAATAACTATAATAAGTAAAAATAAATGAAAAAAGCTGGTTGAGATTGAGTGAAATTGTATGTTGTAAATCTGTAATATTCACTCCTGATAACATACCAATAATATCTTTCAGGTCCTGGTCAAAATGCTGATACAACAATTTGATGTCGAGCCATTCTCCTTTTTCGATTATAGTAGTGAAGGTTGGTACTTTGGAAATGTTAAAATATAACGCAAGTGTCAGTATGCAAAAAGCATTGAGAGCGTAACCAGCCATAAGCAAAAATACCCATTATATCATATTGTTTTATTACACTTTATGATATCAGGCCCGTAGCCAGGATTTGCCAAGGGGGGGTTCAGTGTAATTAGAAAGGTGTTTTTTCTTTGCATGGGTTTTAAGGAACTGAGTCAGACCCAGTGGGGGAGCAAGAGTAGAATAAACAGATAGATCTTGAACATCAACTCAGCAGTAGAATATGTGTTGCATTCAATTACTCATCTCTACAGAGGTTCACTATTAAAATTATATCACGTTAAACTGAGAATGCAGGGTGAGGAATATTATTTTGGTCTTTTATTAATTCGATATTGTGAAACTATATACCACTCTTTGACCAAAAGTCAAAAGCCTGCTATCTATTATAAAAATTATAAACTTGTCGTTCTATTATAAGGTTAAGGTACTAATGATTCATATTATTTTCCAGGACATGTGATTGCCTCACTTGCAGCTAAGTACTTGAATAGTACATTTGTGACCTTACAAAATACAAACTCTACTGCATATGATATTTACCACAAAGCCAAGGAAGGAAATATTGTCAATCTTGCAATATGCCAAAATACCCTGAAAGAGTCGCTTACTGCAAAACTTAGACAGAGTCCAGAATTTCTCAGGTATCAGCTTTTAGGTAAGTGTATATTTGTTAGTAGAGGGTTATCAAGTATTGAATCAGGCCAGGGTTCAATTTTAAACTTGTGATATAAAAGGGAGAGTTTGTGATTGTTTTTGTGTTTTCATTGTAGTATGTAGTGATTCTAGGTTTTATTGTTTTCACATCAGCACAAATGAATATTCCCTCGATAATTGAGTGAATTAAGGGAAATATTGGCCCTTTGTATAAAACCCATACTCACCCATCCTTTTACTTATGTTATATTGTATTTTAGGTAGTAATCAATTTCTAGAGATGATGAGAACAAACTACAGAAGTGAGTTCGATAACATGTTAGGCAACATCATATCTACTGGTCTTACTACTTTTATACAAGTTCCATCCTCTAAGGTAGGTAACATCATATCTACTGGTCTTACTACTTTTATACAAGTTCCATCCTCTAAGGTAGGTAACATCATATCTACTGGTCTTACTACTTTTATACAAGTTCCATCCTCTAAGGTAGGTAACATCATATCTACTGGTCTTACTACTTTTATACAAGTTCCATCCTCTAAGGTAGGTAACATCATATCTACTGGTCTTACTACTTTTATACAAGTTCCATCCTCTAAGGTAGGTAACATCATATCTACTGGTCTTACTACTTTTATACAAGTTCCATCCTCTAAGGTAGGTAACATCATATCTACTGGTCTTACTACTTTTATACAAGTTCCATCCTCTAAGGTAGGCAACATCATATCTACTGGTCTTACCACTTTTATACAAGTTCCATCCTCTAAGGTAGGTAACATCATATCTACTGGTCTTACTACTTTTATACAAGTTCCATCCTCTAAGGTAGGTAACATCATATCTACTGGTCTTACTACTTTTATACAAGTTCCATCCTCTAAGGTAGGTAACATCATATCTACTGGTCTTACTACTTTTATACAAGTTCCATCCTCTAAGGTAGGTAACATCATATCTACTGGTCTTACTACTTTTATACAAGTTCCATCCTCTAAGGTAGGTAACATCATATATACTGGTGTTAAACAAGTTAACAAAATTCTGCATGTTTTTTTTTATATTTCAATAATTGTGAATAAAAAACCTGGTGGGCTCTCAAGATTTGCCTTGTTGCCTTACAACTCTCTTATTTTGCTTGCGCATTGTCTCATGACACTTCGAGTAGTAGGCGGCTATTTTAAAAAATGGCTGTCATTTTTACATATTATATACTATTGTAGGTACTGTCCTTAGCTATGAGCACATTCCTGCCTCATGCCTTCGATGGTGAAAATACACAAGCAGCTTATAAACCCTCCAAGGTATGAATATAAAGATATCTCAGTAATATTACTATGGAGACTCTGGTAAATATAATGGCTGCATAATGGAAACATTTTTAATTCATTTATAAAGGAAAAATTTGCACTCAAAGGTTAGAAAACAATAATTTTTCCCATTTTGTATGTCAGATTGATCTCCTGGTTCAATTATTTTCTCAATGGGATCTTTTTTAATTCATTTGCAAATATTTACTATTCGTTTCAGGATCTATACAACAGTGCATTCCATCCTAAGCCTGTATACAAAAATACAGAATTCAAGCTTATTGGAGAGGTAAATACTATAGGTTCCGTTCTTTTGGGAATTGAACAACAGATCACTGTACTGTAGTTGAATCATTGTCACATGCTTTATGCTGTGTAATATGAAACTATGTGTACATGAACTATATATAAAGGGAAAACTCTTTAACTCAAATTATAAAATTAGAAGAATTTGTTTTTAAATGAATATACATGTACCATATTTATATTTAAACATAGAATAATTACATCATTGAGGTTTACTTTAGCAGGTTGATAAAACATCCCAATATATGTGTAACATATAGTAGTTGTTGTTTATGTTATACAGGGTTGGCTTATATTCAATTACAATCAGAATGGTTGACTTTTTATAGCCCACAGTGTAATATCTTTTTTAATTGGTCTTTTAGAGTGCAACAGCAGATGTAAAGATCAACTTAACTTCTGTAGTACTAGATCCCCAGTCTCATATACCACATGCTCAATACCCATGGAGTTTGCTCAGGATAGATGTCAGGAACCTAACTGCGCAGGTTAGTTTCATAATATGTACTAGATCCCCACTCTCATATACCACATGCTCAATACCCATGGAGTTTGCTCAGGATAGATGTCAGGAACCTAACTGCGCAGGTTAGTTTCATAATATGTACTAGATCCCCACTCTCATATACCACATGCTCAATACCCATGGAGTTTGCTCAGGATAGATGTCAGGAACCTAACTGCGCAGGTGAGTTTCATAATATGTACTGGGTCCCCAGTCTCATATACCACATGCTCAATACCCATGGAGTTTACTCAGGATAGATGTCAGGAACCTAACTGCGCAGGTGAGTTTCATAATATGTACTGGGTCCCCAGTCTCATATACCACATGCTCAATACCCATGGAGTTTGCTCAGGATAGATGTCAGGAACCTAACTGCGCAGGTGAGTTTCATAATATGTACTATATCCCCAGTCTCATATACCACATGCTCAATACCCATGGAGTTTGCTCAGGATAGATGTCAGGAACCTAACTGCGCAGGTGAGTTTCATAATATGTACTAGATCCCCAGTCTCATATACCACATGCTCAATACCCATGGAGTTTGCTCAGGATAGATGTCAGGAACCTAACTGCGCAGGTGAGTTTCATAATATGTACTAGATCCCCAGTCTCGTATACCACATGCTCAATACCCATGGAGTTTGCTCAGGATAGATGTCAGGAACCTAACTGCGCAGGTTAGTTTCATAATATGTACTAGATCCCCAGTCTCATATACCACATGCTCAATACCCATGGAGTTTGCTCAGGATAGATGTCAGGAACCTAACTGCGCAGGTGAGTTTCATAATATGTACTAGATCCCCAGTCTCATATACCACATGCTCAATACCCATGGAGTTTGCTCAGGATAGATGTCAGGAACCTAACTGCGCAGGTGAGTTTCATAATATGTACTAGATCCCCAGTCTCGTATACCACATGCTCAATACCCATGGAGTTTGCTCAGGATAGATGTCAGGAACCTAACTGCGCAGGTTAGTTTCATAATATGTACTAGATCCCCAGTCTCATATACCACATGCTCAATACCCATGGAGTTTGCTCAGGATAGATGTCAGGAACCTAACTGCGCAGGTGAGTTTCATAATATGTACTTCGTCCCCAGTCTCATATACAACATGCTCAATACCCATGTAGTTTGCTCAGGATAGATGTCAGGAACTTAATTGGTCAGGTGAGTGTCATGATATGTCTGTGTCTTAACAATAGCACATGTACTAAATTCATGTACATTTGAAAAAGGATTTTTGTATACCACAGCTCAAGGAAATCTATGATCCCTTTCGTCCTTGTATAAGTTGATTCCATTATTGGAATTGTTAATTTGAGGGTTTGAATCATTTTTACTACAGATTTCTGATTTAACGAAGGGCTATGTTTTTCTTCATGACCTGTAGTGGTATTTACTTATTTGTTTGTGTCATTGCATTTCATATTTTTCCAGGTTGATCATCATTTTGATTATGCCCTCGATGGTCATATGCGAAAGTATTATCAACATTGCACATCCAATGCTACCCATTTTGAGGTGTATCTCATCCGCTCCCCTGATGGGTTCAAGATTCCCTTTGGACGAGTTCATGGTAAATATGTCATATTGTTGACGTTTTTTTTATTGGTTGATTTTTATCTTCTCTCAGATGCATCTAATTTTATTTCATTGATACAACATGGGTTATTTATTATCTGAAATATTGAATTTATAACTGCACTACAAAATGATGCTCTTGGTCCCACCTTAAATGTGGGTACACGCATTACATAATAATGGTCTTGGTCCCAACTTATTGCAGTCACCTGCATTATAAATTGATAGTTTTAGTCCCACGTTTTATTATATTGTTTTTCAGCTATAACATTGATTGCTTTACTGAGGCTAGGTCTAATTGATGAAATGAAGGACGAATTTTATGACAAATTTTTAAAATTACCTTTCTATGAAGACATGGCCCCTTGGAATATAGGTATGTTTAGTTAAATAATTTATAGTTGTATTGCTTACTGTTACATTACTACTATGTTCTCATATAAAAAACAGATTTATTGGAACGCCCGCACGACCAACCACCTGGGTGCCCACCCACCAGGCAAACTTGTGATCACAATATAGCACCCAATGGTACGCTAACAAGAAAAAACAAACATTATGTTCTCTTGTTCTGACTGATTGATACAAACTGTATGTTCCTGATGATCAGTCATTAATTGAAGGCTTAATAGATAGACATATTAATAATGAAACATAAACTATTTACCATCTTTATGTTCCAGTGTTCAAGAGTGGTCAATTAGAATACATAGACTATGACACAAAGGACTTCACATTTACTAAGATGGTTCCTGCAGCTTATCAGGTGAGTTAATCAATTTATAAAATTGTCGTCACAAAGTGGTAAATGATTCATCATGTTGAAAGGTGTAATAATATTATATTGTTTAGAACACTCTACATAGCTTAACTTCTAATCCCCTACTATGAGATATCAAAGCATCAGTTTTGTCCATTAAACGGTGACCAGTTGAATACATTTCTGAAGTCATTGAATGTGATGAGAGAGCCTTCTATTGTTTTTGCAGATCATGTCAATGTTGATGAACTATGAAAGGACAGTCAATGACTTGGGACATTGCGGCCAGCCATCAAAGTAAGTCAGTCCTTTTCTTTCAGTAATTTGTAGCAATGTAATGATTAGAATGTTACAAATGTGTTATTTGAATGAACACATAAAGAAGAAAATAGTTCATGATCTATTTAAAATAGATGTCAGGACTGAAGAGTCATGCTATCTTACAATCATATCAAAATAGAAAAATAAATCATGAAAATTACCATACATAAAGCTAAAACAGCTATAATGAAGGTTTTAGAGTAAAACATTAGATTTCTGCATTTTATCACCCTACATCCCCAATCCGCACTCCGAAATCATGGTACCGTATGGTACATTAAGAGTATGGTACCGTACAGTACCGTTTCTCATACGGTATTGTATGGCACTGTTTGAGCTTATAGTACCATATGGTACTGTAGCCAAAATGGTACCATACAGTACGGGAGCCAAAATGGTACCGTAAGGTATGGCTGTGTATACTGAAGCAGACCATATAATTTACTATTTAATATTTCAGCACAAAGTATGGGTTCACTGAGCCAGCTAAGTGTGTAGGAAGTGACTTTATAGGCCCTTGTGAGGTAAGCCTACATATTCCAAACCTATTCATTTGCTATAGTTACACAATCATTTGGGCTGCTTGATTATATTTTTTAGTGATATAAATAAATGGGTTTTATTTGACAAACAATATCGCAGAATTTATGAAATCCGAACTCTCTTTTTATCGTATTTGCCTAATGGGAACAGCATGAACCTCAGTTGACAAGTCGTTTGCTTACCTAATCTGGCAGGTCCATTCTTTAAATACCTCATTCGACAGTCCTATTGTTTAAATACCTCATTTGACAGGCCTATTGTTTAAATACCTCATTTGACAGGCCTATTGTTTAATAACCTCATTTGACAGGCCTATTGTTTAAATACCTCATTTGACAGGCCTATTGTTTAATAACCTCATTTGACAGGCCTATTGTTTAATAACCTCATTTGACAGGCCTATTGTTTAAATACCTCATTTGACAGGCCTATTGTTTAAATACCTCATTTGACAGGCCTATTGTTTAAAACCTCATTTGACAGGTTTTTTGCTTTAAGTTTGTCTAGTGCCACATTATAAATTATATCAGTTTCCGACGTTGAACACTCTATAGACACTTGAAATTTCATCATAATTAAGAAAGTTTTCTGAAATCACATTGTAGATTTAGAGTCACTGTATTTAAATATGTCTCATTTTTCGAAAACCATAAGATACATCAAAAATATGATTCCATAAAGCTGATCAATGTTTTACTTTTTCTAGGATTCCCGCTACCCTGTGCCATGTGGTGATTACACCTGTAAGTCTACATACATAGAATGTCTACGTAGCCTCGCTCAATTGGAGAAAGAGAAGACAAAAGCCAAGAAACAAGGTATATATATATGTATAGAGGATATCTTCACTTTTGTGACCAATGAATGAATATGATATATGATATGATATCCACGAGCGGAAAAAATCAGATCATTGGAAAAACGGGATGTTCTTTTCATTTCATGGTTCAAGGGTGCTTAAATGAGTAGAATCAAAGTTTCCAGATGAATGTATTCAAAGAGGGATGTGGCGATAGAAAGTACAATCAAGACCCCCTGGACTTTTTTGCATGTTGAGCCATATAACATATTCACTATCTACTTACCAGCGAAGTAGCCCTGAATCCACTACTTTATGTGCTAATTTTGCCATTGTGCTGACTGGTCAAATTATTTTCTTCAAAATTAATTATCTAAAACTTGAATAAACCAGGGAAATCCACTTGTTATCTGATTGGTCATTAAACTTTATCAGTATGGTATTACATTTTAAGCAATTAACAATTTACCCAAGTATTCTGTGTGAGTTTTATAAAATTACTCTGAAGTATAAGATTGGTCTGGTTTGTACCTTACCATAAGCTATCTAGTACTTTATCTACCATGATACACGTTTCTGGTATATTCAAGTTGTGGAATTTAAGTGTATCCAAAAATGAAACTCCATAAATAAATGTAAAGTAAAATATATTCTATATTTCTATTATTAATACTATTGTACACTCCACTTGAACATATGGTGTACAGTTAAAGTTCAATGTCAGACAGTTCCATTGTTATTTTCAAAATGTTTTCCTTGTTCATTGTCTTGATTTTTAGTCCATTTTCAATTTTCTTTTCCTAGTCTTACCTCTCCAAAGAGACTTGATTCAGTCCTAAAATATAAATAGACAAAATATGATACAACTCAAATAAAAGTTCACATAAGTAACAAAAGAAAAAATCATCAATTTGCATGTTTTTGTATGATGAGTCAGGTATCACATATACATAGTCAGTGTGTTTGCAAAAAGTGGTTGAGCCAAAAACATAGAAGAAACTCCATATATGACATACACCCACAAAGGTACTACTGAATAACAATCCTTAAAATCATAATTTAGAGTTTGAATATTAGAGTCTTTTAAACTTTACCTCATGATTTCTTCCTACACACATTTCTGCCCTACCAGTTGCCCAAGTGTGTTGTAACAGCGACACAGTTTGTCATTTCCGCATGAACCATAGTAATTCCCTGTGGCTGCATTTGGTAGATTTTCACAATAGTTCGAGCATGAAGAACTTGAACAGGAAGAACACCCTATAAATCATACAAAATTTTGCATGTAAATATAGAATACAAAATATGTATTTTTCCTATTTCATTGATTTTTAGCTACTACCAATATATCAGGTATTTATCATTATTTGATTATTGTAATCTTTTGTGGCACATGTTCAGAAGCCCTGCAGATTCATTTTCTCTATTATCTTCAAATTTCTTCTAGCTTCAAAGATCTACCTACAGCTACAAAGTTAAAGAGACAAGTTTAGAATTGAAAAAATTGTTGCAATTCAAAAATATTTTCATTTCATTTTTTAGGTACAATCGCTCTTGCTTTTATTTCTGCAAAATTAAAATTAAATTAAAGAGAACTAGCAAGTGTATTTGTTGAAAACCTAATATGACAGTACGAGCCAGACCCCTATAAACCATAATAACTTACCACTTGATCCTCCTCTCCTGCGTCTTCCACAAGCGTCAACTTCCATGAGACACACTGCTAAAAGTAGGAGACACAATACTAAGACACACTGCACCTTCATGATGACACTAATTAATATCCTTAATTCTATTGCAAATTAAAATCGCTCAAAATCACTCGAAAAATTGTTTTGAAATAATTTGGATCAGGAATGCTGCTATTTATATAAAAATGCACCACTAGAATGAATGTAAACCTGAAGCCAATAAACAGCATGTTAACAAAATCTATTATCAAAAGCATGCAATATTTGGATTGGGGAGATGATTAAATTTTGGAAACACCTCAAAACATTGAGTGATTAGCCATGTTTGTCACGATTGTTTCATCCCTGTTTGCTTATTGGTTGAATTCAATGACCTTGAACTGAAGGAGGAAGATGCTAAATACCAAATAACAGACATATTATATAACACCATATATGAGACGAGCAAATAGATGGCAGCACAAAATGTGTAAAACCTAAACATTTTGTAGGGTATAATATGAGAAATTATGATGGATATATATGAAATATAATGATATGAAATATATGGATATGTACATAAATGTAAGGAGAATACATGTCAAAAAACTGTAAGTAGAATAATTGCTTGTAGACTGAGAAAATTGAAGTTGAAGTGAAAATCCTTTGTTTACAAAATCTGAACTGCCAAAGCTGCATCTACATGTATGACCACTGGCTAAGAGCAATGGAAAATGTAAACATTATTGGCAATGAATACCTATATTAACTATATAACTGCTAAGCCATCAACACGTATCAGCCCACCTAAATCATATACATTGAATCTGAGTGATAGAAAACGTAATTTGAGTTCACCTTGTGATAGATCACCAGAAATATTTCATGATGATAAGCGATTAAAATTTGAGGAGTGCCTTGAAATATTAAATGAATCAACAGAATCTAATTATACCGACACGAATGACAGTATAAACATTGCTCACACAATGGCTACAGACAATACCTCAGATCCAGAATGGATTAAAGTTATATATGATCTTAAAAAGATGATGGTGACACGGGAAGACATACAAACTTTAGCAACAAAGGATGACATTGATTCACTTAAAACAGAGATTAAGGACATAACCAAGGCATTAACAGACGCACAAGATGAAATAGGGGATCTAAAAACATCACATAAAAATATGGAACAAACATTGAAACAACAAAAAGATGAAATCGACAGCCTAAAAACTCAGCTATCGAAGCAAAATGATGGCATTACGCATGTACAGTCCATGCAGATGAGGGAAAACTTGGTCTTCTTTAACATTCCAGAAGAAGATGGCGAAACACCAGAATCTACAAAGGAAAAACTGTATACGTTTCTTGAAAAAACTATGAAAATCCAGAAGCCACGACAACATGTGAAAACAGACAGACTACATCGACTTGGTAACAAAAAACCCAATGCAAAATACCCACGCCCGATAATAATACATGTTAATCCATATGGAGGGAAAAATGTGGTATTTCAACATGTGAAAAACCTCAGTGGAACAAGGTTTCGGGTAGATGAACAATATCCAACAGAGGTTCTAGCCAGACGTAAGGCCCTCCTACCTAAACTCATGGAATTCAAGAGGCAGGGGTGTAATGTAAAACTACGGGGAGACAAACTGTTTGTGAATGGACAGCTTCATATACCAGCAACATAAGCTCCACACCAGTGAAAAAACTGTCTACAAACGTTTTACCTTGAGACAAAACTTGAACTTGAAACAAATTTATATTTGAAGATCAATTGAATTGTTAATTGAGTAATTTTGCATTTCAGGTCGAACATTCCAATTATTTGCCTAAATAACAGAGACTTTATTAGCTTTTTTCAATAAGAAATTCCCTAATTAACATTTTTTGAAATAAGAAAATTACTCCACTCACTGAGACAGAGAGTCAATAACTAGAGACATACATGTAAACAGACTACTGGAAAAGGGTTAAAAACCACGATATAAACAAACTGTAAAAAACTATTTAACAGTAACAAATATTTTGAAAATCAAATCAAGTGATGAAAACAGTGAGGATGGAGTTCTTATTTCCTATACCAAAGCTCAGTAATACTGTTAATTATAAAGGTGGTCGCCCACATGTAAGTAAGAATCAACTCTTAACTGTGATGTGGTATAATGAATTTACCAGGTTTGCAATTAGCAATCACTTGCTATTAAATAACACTCAGAATCAAATATATTTGGTTGTATGCAATACATGGGTGATTCAACACTAATTCTTGCTCGAGAGATAGAGTTCGAAAATTAGACAACCATATAAAATGACTTTAGATACACATATATAAATGGCGTAAGATTGCTCGTGACAGCATAAAAACAGATCCACTTTCACTTTCACTTTCTTTTCAATTTTGAAATGTCAGTAGTCAACACTGACATCTTTACATAGCTCAAAAGTTAATCACAAATTTTTTGACCTGACAACATACAAGAAATACAGAGCACGGTTGGGTAAAGTGGGTATGAACCTAATTTACTATTTTTGTTTTTTCATAATTAAATATTCTCGTGATAATATAATTTTCAAGAAATTTATCAGGTGTGTACCTTTAAATGTGATTGGATGTTTTAATCTAAAGCAACACGCCTGCACTACTCGTGGGCAGTGGCGATGTCAACGCGGTAGCCTGACAGTCGCCACCGGTGCATCCATCCAATTTTTTAAATGAGTGGAAACCAAACCATAGATCCATTCTTAAATGCTAAGGTTCTTAAGTTATATTCTATTTAAATTATATCACCTGATAAATGTTAAATTATTATCAGCTTTAAATGGGCTTATTGCCTTTTACATATTATTGATATAGACTTAGTAATTTTCCTTTTGTCTCATAAGGTAAGTTTTTATCTAATTTCTCATATTACCAATTGCTTTTTATTGCAGTTCCTTTTTATACACTGCAATACACAGGATAAATAGTATCCTGAGACCTTAGTAAAGTAACTGTATATATATTACAATAAATAAATTCATTAGTTCATTGTTTGTTATTTTCTTCTACTCTGTTTGTGTGTTTGTGTTTGTGTGTGATAATTCAAGAATGTGTGTGAATGATGTGAAAAATGTCTGTACAGAGATTAACATAATGCAGGTAAATATCAGTCATACTTCTAAAAAACATGGGTTACAAGTTTAAAATGATGTCATTGAATGCAAGAGGGTTACATAAAGCTAGAAAAAGAATGAATATTTTCAGATGGTTAAAAAATCAATGTGTAGATATTTGTTTTCTGCAAGAAACATTTAGTGTAAAAGATGTAGAAGATAAATGGAAATCAGAATGGAATGGTCAGTGTTATTTTAATCATGGAACGAATCATAGTAAAGGGGTAATGG